AGTAAGCATTTCCAGACAAATGTTTATAGGGATTTTTTGTAGTTTTGTTCCATATATCACGTAAAGTTTGGCCAAGCATTTCAGTTACAGGGTGTAACTGAAATGCTTGGTGTATTAGCAAATAACAACGCAAACGCTTACTAAACCTTATTATTGACAAAAACTTAGTTTGAAGAGAATTGCCGAAATATAAAACATACACAATTGGGTTGTGTTCGTAGTTTGCAATGTGTGGTTAAGTAATGGTGGAATTATGCAGCACAAATTAACATTAAGATTAAGATTAATTTAACATTATTAAGAGGTTATTTATGCTTAATGTTAAAGTTAATGTGTTGCATAAATGCTTCCATTGTATTATATTCATCTTAACTTTTTAATGTTAATCTTAATGGTAATGTTAACTTAATGTTAATTTGTATTGCATAATTCCACCATAAATTTGCATTAGAAGGTATGAAAAACGAAAATTACGGCTTAAAGCCTCTAAAAAGAACAAAGAAATTTTGTTGAAGTTGGTGGAAATTTTATTCAAGTGTTTGTTCTTGTAAAAGATTAATTAATTATATTATAATTATAATAATTATATTAGTTATAGGAATACTAGACCTGTTTCTAAAAGCAATGCTCTTTTACCTATTCTATACAGGTACCAACACCTTTTTAGGCATTTAGGCAAATGTTTTGAAAAATAAATGCAATGATGCCAGACGAGAGGGAAAAAAGACATTTAAAATTTGTGACAAGAATATAAAAAAATTAAGAAACAAACTCTAGAGAATAACATATGTTAGTTAATTCTTGATGTACATAAATTATATGACTTCAGAAAAAACTTTTTTATTCAAGAGGGAGCTATACTCAAAAATTGCATGTCCAGAAAAATTGTGCTAGAAAATGGGTGGGAGGTGGAGTCTCGAAACTTTTTGTAGCATGCATATAGTTTACCCTTGCCTACTCCCTGAAAAAAATCCTGTCTGTTTAAATTAAACCCAATGAAATAAATTATGCATGACATATACACTTTGTTTTTTAAATAATTTATATTGAAAAAAATAAGTACACAATTTTTAAAAACTGTTATTTTAATAAAGCAAATTTTAAAATTTAACTGTTGCAGTTGTAGTCCAGATTTTTTTACCACATGTATATTATTTTAAAAATAAAAATATTGTTTCAGAGCATATTTTTAATTATTTGTCAAATAAATATTACAAATGATAAAAACAAGTTGAAAATAGTTTCATTCACTGTGCATGTTTTTGCTTTCGAGCAAATACAATTTGTTTTACCTACAGGGTGTATTTTTTATTTTCTTTTAAAATGCCTTTTAAACTTGTATTGCTGGAAAAAACGTATTTGAAGAGCAAGCACATAATTTAAAAATAGGTTGAACATGGTCTAAAATTTAAAATTCTCTAAAGTATAAATTAGACAAATATTTTTTTTAAACAAAATTTTGGTTTTATTTTATAATACTTATTATTTATTAAATAGTATTTTTTTTAATTATCTAGGTATTATATTAAAAAGTAAACATTTATGGAAGGTATGCATGTTTTTAATGATAAAAAAATAAATCAATAAATATTTTTACCCAAGTTAAATGTTGGGGTAATTATTTTACAATAAAACCAAAGAAAGTAAAAATCAATTGATTTCAACCATTCAGCTTTTCAATGAGACAAAAAAACAGCAAATATATTTGATATAATTAACATGTTAGTAGTTTCCTGCAATTTGGGTACTTTTTTATAATTTTGCATTTTATATTTTAATCGATATTTATAAGTACTTTAATTAAAAATATACACCAAATCAAATTTCCATAGCCTACTACATAATATCAATGGTAGAAAATTCACTTTTCAGTTAAACAAATCGTGAATTTAGAACTAAAAAATCTGCACTTGTAAAAACATTTGTATAATTTTAGGTATAAATTTAAAAAATACATTGTTTTATGGTTAAAACAAAATATTACGCGAAAAAAATATTAATATACAAAAAATTATAAAAGGATTTCTTAGAAACCGATTTGGTCATATTTTATGCAAACCGGTCAACATGGCCTTGCCTAATTTCTTAGGGTGTTTAAATAAAAGATATTATTGTGATTTTATTTCATCCCAAGCATTGATCTTCAATCCCTGAAACTTTTTGTAAAATCTGAGATGTCGAGCTTTTGTCATTAGGTGAAATTTCATGGAATGACTCGATATTTTAGATCAGTCGTTAACGACTGATATAAATTTTATCAACCAATTTACATTTTAGATGATTTTATTGGGCAAAAAACAAATCTAGTAAACCATGACTTATATTATTAGCGAAATTATTTTCTATGGTTAAAAGCAAATGTCACAAATGTCAAATAAATCTTGTTGACATTTTAATTGCTTTATGTCTAATTTAAAATGTAAATGTATAGAAATCGACTTTTTTAGGGAAAATATAAACCTATTTTCCCTGATATGCTTAATCAGTTGATATAAATAAATCAACGTTTCTTCATACGGCCCATAGTGTTGTAATAGCATTTTTTCTGCTCCCACCTTTAAAATACACAGTTGTCAAATGTCATACAATCGTCAAAATAAAGCGACTAGAAAGTGGGGTTAGAACAGCCTGACAGTTGTCAGATTTTATTTATTTTTTAAAATTATGTAATTTTTGTGGTTGGTGTTAAAAAAGTATAATACGCAACTTGTTTTATAAACTTCTCTGGACACTCGTTTATTAAACATTTGCTCGCAAGCTTCGCTCGAGCCCAATTAAAACACGTGACTAAAATGCCGTTTATAAAACTTTCCACATTATAATACTATTAGTCGAATAGTATTAGATAATTTAAATAATTTCACATAGTTATTTTAATGTAAATAAAATAAATAAAACGTAGTTAAATATTAACCATTAACCTTTGTAAATTTCTTAAATTTTATGAGATTGTTTTTTTATAATTGTTTTACTTTCTCTGTATACAAACACATTAAATTTTAATAATTTTTCGTTATGCAGGTGAATTTATACATACATTTTATTACAAAACTAATTAAATTAAAATCATTCCGGGTTGAAACTTTATATTTCTTGATAATTATAATAATTATTGTTTAAAATGACTATTTGTATATATTTAGATGCAAAACTTCTGTCTATTTGGAAAGTGAAAAGACTAATTACATTCTAATTACCAATAGTTTGCATTTTGTTGTCGAGAAATTGAAAGAAATTAATTTGGAAATCGATACGAACGATATTTATTTGCACGTATGCATTAAAAGATTTACAGCCGATATCTTTACATTTAATTCCGACAAGTGTTCATTGTATGTCTATTAATTGTTACATTTATAACAATCGCTTATTTAACTTTCTATTTATAATTAAAATGTTAATGTGTTTACATTAAACGTACTCATGCCTACATATTGTTTTATCTTTAAATACATGTATGTCTATGCAATCATTTTAGGAGATAATGGAAAAAGTAATTTAAAACTTATTTCGCAGAATTGTTTATCTAAAAAATTATAAACGCAAAAGTTAAATCACCTGATTTAAAAAAAATAAGTTTAACCACGGCGTTCTCTATAGAGAACGCCGTGGTTTAACATAATAAGGAATACGATATACTATATACTTATTATCTAAGATCTAAAATCCCAATAGCAATCGCGCAATTTAATCACATATTAGGTTAATGGGTCATAGTAGTCTGTCATCTGCGAAATGAAATTATTTTTAAATGCCAAATAACCTATACAGGGTGTTTCTACTCAAAAGGAAGATCGTAATGGGGGTTTTAGATCTCGTCACTTTTTTTTTTAATTTTATTTGAGGTTTTGCTTTGAATTATCGACCTTCTTTTGTTTTTATATAAACCTCTTAATCATTATTGGTTTATATATTTTTTAAAAAATGTTTACTACAAAAATTGTAGATATTAATAAAAAAATTCTAAAAAAACTTTTTAATGTGACCATAAATAACAGGGATAAAAAGATTAATGTAAAAAAGATTAATCATTTGAAATCAAAAGCTTAAATAAAAAATATCGAAACGAAAAAAGTCGATAGTTTGAAAACAAAAGATCAAATAAAAATTATTTATTCTCAATGAGATCTATAACACTTTTTACTTTGTCCCTAGTGAATTAATAAATAAATAAAAAGTAGAAACTTCACGCTCGAGGAATCTCTTCTTTCTTCCACTAGTCACATAATATACTATTAATAGTTTTAAAATAATTACTATATGATTATGGAATTTTTACTTCTGTTGATAAATATGATCTTTAATTTTATCTTGAGATTTATTGACTTATTGGCATACATTTTTTTTTTAATAAAATGTATATTATACATTGTATAATTATTAAAATATATAATCAACAATTCAGTTTAGATTAAAAAGTTTATAAAAGTGAAATTTTGGTTAATATTGCAATTTTAGAATTAATGAAATTTTAATCGCTGTTTAACTGCTTTATTAAAGTGCATACCTAAAAGTTTACGGGTAAAAAATAGTTAGCTTCCATTATTAGATAGTGAAAACGGTTATGTGTGGTTTGATTTTTAACAATGTATGAAATATGGAAATTTGTTGTTACGAAAAGTTTGAGATCTCGTGCACTCTAAAATTACCACTTTATACAAATTTTAACATAAATTGGTTAATGAAATTACGAGAAAATTGTGTTTTAACAAAATATTCACATACAAATCAAATGCAATTTAAATGTTAAGTAAATGGCTTTGGCGTTCAGATCGATGCCAATACGTGAAAACTTAAAATAACTAACCTGGGTAACAAAATCTATTGTTTTAAGTTAATTTATCACTTACCCTCATACGTTTCAGAAAATACCTTCATTTTTGAATGATTTTAACAATTTATTAATTCTTTATTTAATTATTCAAAATTTGTATCGATTACTTGGAACATTACATGTTTATAATCTATAATACAATTAAAAATGTTAATTTTTTTTTCAGGACGAAACGAATTAATTGCAAGGTATATAAAATTAAGAACTGGAAAAACGCGCACAAGAAAACAAGTCAGCTCGCATATACAAGTTTTGGCAAGACGAAAATTACGGGAAATTCAGGCAAAACTAAAAGTGGTGAGTACATTTTTTGTGCAATAAATATTCGATAGGCTTTCTCGGCGTTGAGTAATCATTTCCCTTGGTGATGGTGTTGTTATGGTTTACTTAGGATCACGCAGCAAAAGAAAAATGTCTGCAAACGATGTCTAACATGTCTAGTGCTCAGATAGTGTCAGCAACTGCAATGCACAGCAAGTCGTTGGGGGGCATTAGCCTAGGCGGTCTAGCCCATCCCGCCTCCTACCCTGGAGCGGTAAGTCCGGCTAGCTCACGCAAAACCCCGCTCTAGATTTTGATCGATGTACAGCTAAATTTCTTTTAAATCAATTTAACAGTTTTTTATTTTTTACCCGCTGATATCTAATATGACACCCAAATGCTCTTCTTTTTAATAAAATATTTGTGGTTTTAAATTAAATTTAGGAATAAAAAACCTTTAATGACATATTTAAAACAATTATTGTGGCTCGTCTAGATTTAAGCAAGTTTACTATAAAAATATCATAAAATAATTATGTGAAAAATAAGCAATAAAATCAGTTTTTCTATTCCTATTACGGATTATGACCGTTCTATCACTTTTTAATGTGGAATAACATATATTCCTTGAAGTGTTACAGAATGAATTATTTTATCACCGGATGACGAAATAAATATATACTTACCACATATACCGCTTATTCGCTATATTTCGAATAGATGACCTTGTTTCCGTTTTTAAGAGGAGGCTGGAGATTAAAAAAACAATAATGTTTGTTGGTTATGAATAAATACAAATGTCATTTTAGGAATTTAGGTTATATTAAAAAAAATATTAGAAAACTTGTTTTAAAATGCGAAATGTTTTGCTGTAATAGTAAATGCGAGTGTTTAAGTTGCTCATGAGGCCGTCAGGCCGAGTGTGCATTAACACGAGCTTGAAGAAAGCTTTTTTCACAAGTGAAACACAATGTTTTTTCTACGACACTTTTATTTTTTATTATTTTTAAATACATAACAAAATAACCTAAAAACGTTTTAAAATCTGTTAAATTTACTTCCATCTTATTCTTTTATTTTTTAAGATACAAGTTACTTAAAATCAATAAACTTACCTTTCTAATTTAAATAAAAAAAACGTGTTTTAGTAGAAATCCTTATTCTATAGGGGTTTATCAAATCAAAAACAAAAAAGCATTCAAAAATAGCATTTTTTAAATGGATAAACTATATATTTTAATTCAGAACCGTCTCTTAATATCTAAAAACATACCGGGCTCCATTCAAAATAGCAATGTTATTGCTATTTTTGTTGTTTTTTTTACTTTGCTAGGGGAAGGGGGGTCTAACAATTTATGACAAAGTGCGACTAGGGGGTGGAGGGGATCATTAACTACGTGAGGGCACAAATATTCATTTCAATTAAAAACAACTTCAAACCCTTCCCCTCCCAAACCAGGAAGGTTAGACAATTATTGGAGAACAAGCAGACTCAGCTGGGTCTAGAGCAAGACCCGCAGTCCCTAAAAAAATACTGGATCCGCAACTGTTTTATTTAAAAACAATTTATTTGACCAATGCTATGATGGGATTAAAAATTACAGGGTTTGTAGAGATTAAGTACCTATTAGAGCAATTTTAATTAGGTATAAGAAATTATTTTTGATACATCACCAAAATTAATTTTGTCTAAAAGCTTCTTGCTATGGTAATTTTATGGCAACGAGAATTAATTTTGCTTTGAGTAATGAACTAATTTATTGGTGTTCCATAATAACCTTAATTATTAAATATTTTAAGTACCTACTTACAATACATAAACATTAAACTTTTTTTTTGCCTTCTGTGAAAATTGAAGAAGTTCTGATATCGAAAAATTGGTTGCTGGGCTCCTCAAAAGAAGCCTATTTACGTATGAGCTTCTAATATTAATAAAAAGATCCTCCTAATCCCATTTTTTCATTTTCAAATTAGTCCAGGAAAAAAAATTTTACTTTAAAATATTCATAAACAAAGGACTCCAACATTTATATCAATGAAATATTTAGGGGAAAATTAAAAAAACCTCGTCATATTTAAAGGTAGGTATCCTAACCACTAGACCATACAGGATATACTTTATATTAAATAAAACTTATTATATATTATCTTTGAAACCCTTACATTAATCGAAAAACTAAAGAAAACTTTTTTGTAGATCAGTAAATTTTCACCAAAAATATGTACTAGGTACTCGTTTTAAAATCATAAATACTCTGCAAGTTTTAAAATTTTATAAACATTTTTGTTTTCAATCTTTGACCTAAGATATATTTTGAATAGCTTGGTTTATGAAAAAAACATACGATAACTTTTTTGTAGTGAATTGAATTCCCTATCAAAATATGTATTAAGCTAAGCTTTATATTCAGGTACAAAAACATCAAAATAATGTAAAAATGGAAAATTGCAATTGGGAGCCTATTACTCTTAATAGTAGACTAATAGTTACTAACTACAAATAATTTTTCGATATCAGAGGTAAACAAAAAATAGTTGAGTTTTTGAGTCACCCTATAGGGTTATATATGGGTCAACGTTTTCGGGGTACTCAAAAGATAATATATTCGTGTACTTATACCTTTGGACCCCCGAAAACTCTGAATGTGCCATGTAATTTTAAGTGTAATTAAAAATTATATAATTTTAGTATTTTTACAAAAAAAGTGTTTTGACAGCTTTTGCGTAGTGTTTCTCTTAACATACTTGGGCTTGCTGTGTTTTGCAGCTATATTCTAGTTATATTGTGTAATATATATAAATTCCTCGTTAAATAACTTAATAAATATATTTCCAATTTTTCAGCAATTTTGGCAACCTGGACTTCAACCTGGAACGTCACAGGAGTAAGTGTGTTAGAATTTTGAAGAAATGTTGTGTATATTAATTGTTTTATTTTAGTGTAAAGCCTTTCACACAATCCGCATATCCAGCAGGGAAACCTGCAACCGCCGTATCCGCGGGAGAAGTTGGCCCCCTGCAAACTGCACAACCACCTGTATGGGAGGGTAGAGCTATTGCTACGCACAAACTAAGGCTAGTTGAATTTTCGGCTTTTATGGAAACCTCCAACCGAGACGAAGCAGTAAGTAGACCTTTATTTAATAACTTATTAATAATAAGAAACGAACGAAAACTATTAAAAAGGCGATTTAAACTTTGTAGCAAAATACCTGCAGAACTATACTTTTTGGTTATAATATGTGTGTACTCGTTTTTAGTGCATAATTTTAAGCCTCTCCATAAGTGGGAATTAATTTTCGAAAATTTTTGTCATAGTTTTAATCAATTAGGCATATCTTCTTTCATTTAGGGCGATTTTTGTACTCAATGTGCGTTGGTTATTTTCGTGAATTTAAACACGTATATTGTTCGTAGTACTTTATTTATTTACCAAGGTAATAATGAGGTAACTTACAACGGCGGTGAAGCTGGCTGTGGCGGCCCGAGAGAATGGTCGAAGAAGGTGGAGTGTATCGGCTTGGATTGTGGTGTCAACTGATTCATTAGCTATTGAAATGAATGGATTTTATATTTCAGTAACAGGTAGTTCTGACGTCATGTGAAATGACGTCGGTCTGCTTTCCGGGCTCAAGTCAAGTTTTTCCGAATTGCTATTGTGCTGTAAAAGTGGGCTGTAGAAAATTTTGTCGAGGATGGGATTAAATTTAGGCCTCCAGCGTACACTTTGTCACGTAGTTACAATAAATGTTTTATGGTTTTGCCTGGGTTTATGATGTTTTTGTGCTGTGTAGTGGAGGTTATGCCGCTACAGTATTTGACGGAAGAAAAAAGTTTAAATCTAATTGAATCCTGCCTGCAGGTGCTCGGGAAATCGGACACGTCTTCCAGGACGTGTGACGTTCCTCGAGGTAGACAGTCCAGGCGTCTGGCTGGGTGGTGGGCTGATGGTGTCCTTCAGCGCCCTGTCTCCTGGTATTACGTCCTCTATTGGGGTCTCGGATGAACTCTGATGTTGTTCGGGAAGCTCTTCTGTGACGATCTATGCCGGTTTCAATCGGTCTATTGAACGCGTGACTTCTCTGCTGTTAATGGCGATGGCTAACGTCTTGGGTCCGCGACGTACAGCCCGATCATGCGTTTGCCCGCTGGATGGTACGCGGTGGTCATTAGATGAGTCGTACCTGTTAAACGATTTAGGTGTTTAAAGAGGTTAGACTCGAATTGTCGCCCTTGGTCGGTGGGGATTCGAAGTGGTGCTCCAAATCGACAGATTCATCCTTCGTAGAACGCTTTGGCAACTGTGGAAACTTCTTGGTCTGGCAGCAGGAATGCTTTAGGCCAGCGTGTGAACCGGTCGATACACGTGAGTCAGTATCGACAGCCTTTCGATGATGGCATGATAATAAGATCGATATGTACATGCTCGAACCTGGCGGTTGGGTTAGATAATTCTCCGACAGCTGATGCTACGTGTCGTGTTACCTTGGCTTGTTGACATTGTATACAATCCTTTTTCACAGATGCCCATACGTAGCGCTGGGTTACGAGCTTGACTGAGGTCCTAACTCCAGAATGCGAGAGTTGGAAATCTCCTCGACGCGTGACAGTGCCTCGGCCACGATGTTGTCCTTACCAGCGATATGTTGGGTGTCTGTGGAGAACTGGCTGATGAATAGGTGTCGAGCCTGTCGCGAAGAAGTTTTGTCAGTCTTCTGTAACCGCAATGCAAAAGTAATTGGTTTGTGATCGGTGTATAGTTCACTGCCTAGCTTCCACCATGTGTCTAAAGTGCCTTATAACCAGGTAGATAGCTAGCAGCTCGCGGTCGAATTCGCTGTATTTTATTTTGACCGGGCTAAGATTTTTTGAAAAGAAGGCCAGTTGTTGTCAGTTTGCGTCACATATAAGTGCAAGTGGCGCGTCAGGTTTAGGGTGAGCAAAATTTCACTTCTCCCACTAATTTTAAACAACGTGTGGTTAAAACTAATTGACAGATGTCAGATAAAATATCAAATATAGTTGGTTTTAAATTCCTTGTGGTTGTTTAATAAAATATTGTGTGCGACTATTAGTACAAAGAGTGGATACCACTCGCTACGATCGAGGAATCTCCACTTTCTCCCACAAGTCGCCTAATAGCAAAAGCTTATGGGTGAAATAATATTTCGTCCACTAGTGGGAAAAGTAAAATTTCGCCCACCGGTTAAAGTTAAGAAATGAAATGGTTTAATAAAATACAATTATAACTTCTAGCAATATTTAACAAATAATTCTCACTGCTAAACAGCTTCACAGCATTTTTGCAGTATATATTCTATAGATAAATAAATAATTGTTTTTTTATATTTGTACACCATAATAAATAAGAACAGTACGATACACTTTTGCGTTTTGTACTGTCTCCATGGAAACAGTACGATTAGAGTTAAGGATCAATTGACCGCTACCTATTTGACCAGTCAAAATATATTAAATGTTTGCAGCATTTTATTTAGGTTGTATTAACATTATTTATTCGTTCTGCAATTTACCAACATCTGTCTTAATTACCTGTGAATCCCAAAATATCTGGGATCATGCTATATCGGCATCGTTTCTGTTTGGAGGTTTCCCATGTTATGGTGTTGCTAGGCTGTAGGGTTGCCAGGCCCTAAAATATAAAACCCGGACTTGTCGCTATATTGGGCTAGACATTTTGCCCTAAAAGCCAGACATACATAAAAAACATAACTTTTGTAGTAGAACAAATTGGTAAGGATTTCACTGTTTGTTACAAAATTAACCAGTTATAACTTAAAGCCGGATACGACCGTAAAAATCTAAAGCCGGACGCCTGGTAACCGTATCGCTGCCTTTCCAAACCGATATCGCAGCACAACAATAACCTATTGTTTTATTTAATTTTATGTTGGTCAATTGACCGGTCATTTGACTAAAAATAATTTGAGCGGTCAATACAATACCATAATCTTACAATACATGGCAACAGTACGATACGCAAATATAATTTATAACTCGAATGTTTCTTAAAATTTTGAGAAATAGAAAAAATAGTACAAAGAACTTATGACATTAGTTTTTTAATATACTATTTTTCAAATTCAGAGACGCTTTGTTTCTTTTGTTCCGCCACAGACAATAAATGAATCGGTGAGATTAAGAACAGTAGAAGTCCAAAAGTAAAAATTTTAACAAAATATTTAAAAAAATCAGTTTTATAGTTCTAAATGCATTTTTGTGCAAATATTTTAACTGTTTTATAAAATATAATATTTATATTCCGTAATGGGGCATTCCATTACTCGGGAGTATTTGTCCCGCCAGTCACAATTAATAATTTATAATTGTGACTGGCGGAGCAAAAATTCCCGAGTATCGTGGAATGCCCCTAATATGATTTATATATTCTCACAAAAATGTTTTTTTAACTTTAAAATTGATTTAGTACTTTTAACCCATTCAGGACGGGTGCCGTACATGTACGCATTAAAAAGAGTACATTGAGGGCCGATTGCCGTACAGGTACTGCTACCTATGCAAGGAGACGAGTACAGTAAGTAATTTTTAACTGCGCTATTATATACAAAACCGATACGAACGCAGTACAGGTACGGCCGATATATTTTCTTACATGGACTGATGCCGTACGTGTACGGCACTCGATAAAATATTTAGTAGCAGGACGTCTGGCATACAGGTACGGCGTTTAGTTTTTTTGTGGGACTGAATAAAAGGCGTTTTATTGAACTAAAACTTTAATTTTTGTGGGGCACTTGCAATGAAAATAATTAAAAAAAACTACGGATTCGTTACGAGGATAAGTGTACCTAAAAATCTAGGGTAGAACGAACTGGCTCATTAAAGCCGTTTGGGAAATAAAAAATGGGTTTTTTGAAAAAAGGACCCCCTGTACATTGAAAAGCAGTAACTTTTGAAAAAAGTCTAGTACCTCAAAAAATCGTCCATTCGGTTATGTTTGATCGATTACTAAAATTGGGCTATAATAAAAAAACAAAAAAGTGATTTTGAAAGCAACGCTCAACTTTGCACACTGCGAATAGCAAAAGGGCACATCATATAGGTGCGCCATCTTTGTTTCCTGGACTATATGCACAGTTTTATTTCTTAAACGATACATAAAACGTACTTACAATAATTGTAATAATTATTATTATAATAACAATATTAATTGTTATTAAATGTATAAAGTAAGGTTAGATAGCTTTAGAGTTGTTTCAGGCTTTGAATAAAAAAGGTTTTTTATTCAAAGGTAGGTATCGAATTTTTTTATTGGTCCTAGCGGTTTTTAGGTTCCTAGAAGATATTTGAATACTTTGGTAGTGACTGTTGACAATCATAAAACCTAAATTATATAACGCTTGAAGATAAACAATTTTAATTTTAAACTCTTTTTCAGTATCAAAAACATCTGTTCGTACACATAGGCGGGCCCGCGTTATCTTACACCGATCCACTTTTGGAAGCTGTAGACGTGCGACAAATATACGACAAATTCCCTGAGAAAAAGGGCGGCCTCAAAGAGCTTTACGACAAAGGACCTCAGAACGCCTTTTTCCTCGTCAAATTTTGGGCGGATCTTAATTCGAATTTACAAGAGAGTGGAACCTTTTACGGGGTCACAAGTTCGTAAGTATTAATTATTTCTGTTATTAATTTGATTAATTATTATTATAACCACTAATGATTACTTATTATGATTATTCTTACTATTTAAAACCTAAGATAATTGGGATTTGGTATAAACCCAAACTTATCTAAATCTAAAGATGTGTAATGGAGTTAAAATGTCAAATATAGAAAATTATTGGTAACAAAAAGTCATTTTTATCGTTTGTAACATTCAAACTGTTACAGAAGTTAATATATTATATTATATATATATATATACAGGGTGTCCGGGAAAAGGAGGTCAATCCGTTGACCATATATTCTTTGAGTTAAAACAATAAGACTTTCATAATACCATTTTTCAATTTAGAGCTTCTTGTTCGATATACAGGGGGAAAAAGTTTGAAATTTAAAACTGATTTTTTTTAATAATTCAAGTAATTGATAAGATATTAAGTTTAAATTCGGTACACTACTTCAACATAAATAGTTACATTTTTTGAGACCAACAAAACAAAAAACAATTGTCAAATAATCAAAATAGGGGGGTCCAGTACTCACTGACTCCCCCTATTTTTTAGTACGTGCGCCAATGACTTTCAAACGGTATTTTTTCAGGTAATCATTTATTATTGAAAATTTTTTGTCTCTTATAAAATTTTGATAAAATGATTTGTTTTAGAGATAATTTGTAAAGTATGGGTCAATCCATATCAAATTTTTGAAATTTAATTTTTTTTTTTAATAAGTTTAGGTCATGTGATATATCATAAAAAAGGTCTCTAATAGGCCTTTAAAATAAGCCATCACTCACCTTTCTACTTTTAATAGTTTACGAGATATCGCTATTTTTGTAAGTACCCAAATTTATCGCAATTTTTTGATTTTCAAAAATCAATAAAACAAAAACCACCCATCAAAAAAATTCATATATGGGATTTTTGAGTTTTTTAGTGAGGTAAACAAATTTACCAAAAAATATTAAAATCGGAGATGGTGGGGGAAGAACCTTTGGTTGATTTGATATGGACTGACCCATACTTTACAAATTATCTCTAAAACAAATCATTTTATCAAAATTTTATAAGAGACAAATTTTTTTTAACAATAAATGATTACCTGAAAAAATACCGTTTGGAAGTCATTGGCGCACGTACTAAAAATAGGGGGAGTCAGTGAGTACTGGACCCCCCCTATTTTGATTATTTGACAATTGTTTTTTGTTTTGTTGGTCTCAAAAAATGTAACTATTTATGTTGAAGTAGTGTACCGAATTTAAACTTAATATCTTATCAATTACTCGAATTATTAAAAAAAATAAGTTTTAAATTTCAAACTTTGTCGCCCTGTATATCGAACATGAAGCTCTAAATTGAAAAATTGTATTATGAAAGTCTTATTGTTTTAACTCAAAGAATATATGGTTAACGGATTGACTTCCTTTTCCCGGACACCCTGTATATATATATATACCTTAAAGAAACTTGACAAGTGAAAGTCTTTTTTAATAGAAAGTTATGGAGTAAATATTTGACACTGGTACAAACAATTGGGATTAAGCAATTTTTATAAATTTAATCTAATTATCAATATAATGGGTTAGAAAATTGGCTGAAATTTTTATTTTAATATACTGGAAAGGGGATAAAATATTTTTTCATATTAACTTTATCCATTAAAGAAATTTATTTTAAAATCTATTCTATTGAAAATTATATGTTTGCTTTATTTTTTTATTTGTTTTTATAATAAACTGTATAGTAAGTATGGCATCAACCAAATAGTATATTTAAGCCTTATAAACATTATACAATTTTTAAACTACATATATGTAATATACATCCCGGTCAACATTGTAAAGTAACATTAACCACAATTTTATGTAACGATTGTGATGTGTAACCTTACAGTTACATAACCTGATGGTTGCAAATAGGTTCCTATAGGAGTAACATTGTTACATAACAATGTTACATTGCCGTTATGAAAATGAAACATTACTGTAACGTAACATTATACAATTTTTAAACTACATATATGTATGTAATATACATCCCGGTCAACATTGTAAAGTAACATTAACCACAATTTTATGTAACGATTGTGATGTGTAACCTTACAGTTACATAACCTGATGGTTGCAAATAGGTTCCTGTAGGAGTAACATTGTTACATAACAATGTTACATTGCCGTTATGAAAATGAAACATTACTGTAACGTAACATTAACCAAAATTTTATGTAACGATTGTGATGTGTAACATTACAGTTACATAACCTGACGGTTGCAAATAGGTTCCTATTTCCCGCTTTTTTAAGTAACATTGTTACAAAACAATGTTACGTTGTCGTTACATAAATGCATTATAATTGTTATGATGTTGTTATGTAACTGTTTAATGGATTACAATGTTACATTCCCGTTATGAAAGTGAAACATAACTGTAACGTAACATTTACCAAAATGTTATGCAACAATCGTAATATGTAACATTACAGTTACATAACAATGTTACGTTGCCGTTACTTTTTCGCAATCCAAGTTATGTTACATAACATGGCCTTTACGTTTATGTAAAATTGTTCCGTTGCAACGTTATTATGCTCGACATGAGAAAGTGCCGTCAGTTAATCGCTAAAGCGTATTGTAAATGATACATAATATCGTATTCTGACTTTCCCATAATCAGGCAGACTGTTTGAGGTCCAATGACAAATGGACATAGTGCGCTGTCTTAACTTCGTTTATATACCTAGCCGAGGTGGTAACACGAGCAAGATGTAAATGATGTGTATAACTATCACTTTGTTACGTAACATAAATGTAACTGTTACATAACAAACTTATTACTATAGTATTGCAATGTTACGTTGCTGTTATATTGCCTATTGGTATTTTTTTTCCTTACAATAGTTTCAGAATGTTACGTTGCTGTTATATTGCTTATTGGTAATTTTGTTACATTAAAATAGTTTCACAATGTTACGTTAATGACATTATATAATAGGCAAAATAACAATAACGTAACATTGCGATACTATTGTAATGTAACAAAATTACCAATAAGCAATATAACATTAACTTAATGTTATATTGCTTATTGGTAATTTTGTTACATTACAATAGTATCGCAATGTTACGTTATTGTTATTTTGCCTATTACCATTATTTTAGGTGTTGCGTTGCATTTTAGTAACATCGTTACATTGCAATGTGACTCCTATGTTACACAACGGCAATTCTGTGTTACGTTAAATGTTGACCGGGATGTAATGAAATAATTTATTTTCTTTTTCTCACTCATACTGTTACAAGTCGTTTTTTAACCTTGTTTATTTATTAAATCTATTTATTTTAGGTATGAAAGTAATGAGAACATGACGATAACGTGTTCGACAAAAGTTTGTTCGTTCGGCAAACAGGTGGTGGAAAAAGTGGAAACGGAATATGCCCGATACGAAAACGGGCGATTTGTATATAGAATCCATAGAAGTCCGATGTGCGAATACATGATTAATTTCATACACAAATTAAAACAATTACCTGAAAAATACATGATGAATAGCGTGTTAGAGAACTTTACAATTTTACAGGTAAGTGATTTAATAGGTTTCCCGCCATTTTCTATTCATTTAATTTTTTTTATTTTGAACATACAAAATACAGCAAACTGTTGTATCATGATATAAGTTTTCTTCTCCTGCAAAGTCCAAAAAGAAGTTTGTGCCGTTAAAGGTTGTGATGAATGACATTGAAATAAAATTGTATAATGCTGGGTTAGGTAAACAATTGCAAATTATGAGAAAGGAGGTTTAAAGGGCAAGTTGAAATGAGAGGGAAATAAAAAAATGGAGTACAACAAATTATTCCTACCCTGAAATAAAAATGAACTGCGTGCTTTTCTCAAAGCAAACATGTATCTGCACATGTGCAAAAGTTTTCACAATTGACAAAATTACGGATGCCAACTTTGCCCTAGCCGAATGAGGGACAAAATGAGATTTGATTGTGTGTCCATTTTAACAATAAAATCAACAAAATCTTTTACTGCAGAAAAAAAAATACAGAAAAATTTCTTGATGTAATAAAAAAAAATTATACTAACAAAACAATACCCAACATTAAGCTCCTCTTTTAAAGTCGTACTTTTCGGTGCTGTGCTTTTTAACGATATCTGTATTCTGACACAAAATCTCGGATGTTTATGGGACGAATTAACTATTTTAGGTGCAATGCGGGACTACTAGCATCTTATAAAATGCGGCCAATCCGGGGCGGTTGGCTACAGTGATGGTAATATGAGGAAAATTTCCCCACATGTAGGGAAATAATAATTTGTAGGGAAAATTGTTTGGAGAAATTTTTTTAAGGAATTTGTGGGGAAATAATAACTGTTTTGAATATCACCCCCATTTATTATTTATAAATAGTGTATTATAGCCCAAGCGGAGAAAGCACATATTATCGCTGAGCATACATTTCACAGTAGATTGTGTGCGAGGCAATTAAAAAGCTTTCGCCGCCGTTTTTTATATACTATTTTCTTCAAGCATTTAATTAGATAATTTTTAAAATTCTGTCACATCATTTTTAGGTTAAATTCAACTGACATGATGACATTTTAGCTTTATTTCTGTACAAAGTTTAATAATAATATGACTTTTGAACTAGTACTTCGTAAGTCATTCTATATAGACAGAGTCTAATAATTATTAAAAATTATTGTACCCGTGAAAAAAATATATTTTTTCTACTACCTTACTGGAAAATTTAATTTTCCACCCCTGAGCGAGGGGGAAAATCTTCCTCCCTCCTTTTTTTTAACAATTTTACATTAGCAAGTGTTTTTTTACCTTGTCTAGCTCTATTTGATTTTGTATGAAAAAGATTTACTCAGCGCTTGTCCAACCATTCTTTGAACAAACTATATTTATTTTCATATCGCTCATATCGATTTTAAGAAAGGAAATTAATTGCAACTATTCTTGCCTCTTCAGCAAGATCTTGCGGCAGGTCTTCTTCGCTAGAACTCATTTTCAAAACGTAGGAAGAATGTCAAATTTATGATAAACATTCTGACAGCTTATAACAACTTTTATGTTTGTTTTGCCAAAAATAACGTCGGCGACGCAACACCTACTTAATATTTGTCATAATTTTATAGCCCCATACCGGGTTAGTAAAAGGAACCGGAACGCTTAAAAACCGCTAAAAGGTAATAGAAAAAACTATATACAATGTATATTATACATACTTCAGGAGGAAACTGCTTTTCCTCCCTTGAATATTTAGTAGCTATTTTTGTAATTAAGACAATATTTTTTTCTTCTGCAATTAAAGATTAAAATCACAAGCTATATTTACTAAATATAATTTAGTTTAGATGTTTTAAATTGTTGAAATATATGTAAACGCGTATTATACCATTTTAACTATAATTATTGTTAAACTGGTATAATATTGATTATAATCAATAATTGAATTTATTTCCACTCATTCAACAGCTTTTAATTATTTATTCATAAAATTAATCTAATATATACAGGGTGATTCAAAACCCTAGGGGAAAAATTAAGAAATATACCTATACAGTTTTATATTCTTGATAAAAAATATAAAATAACATTTTTGGAGATATGGCTTTGTTTCCGAGATATTAGACTTCAAAGTATTTGCATGTGATCAATTTTTAACTTTATTAGATAATATAAAAAAATAATTAAATCAAATGTTCTAAAATACCACCATTAGCGCGAATACAGGCTTGGCAACGCAAAATATGGGAATCGTACACTAATTGCATATTTTGTCTATTTTGAGTGCATTCGACTGCATTAATAATTTGTTCCAAAAATTGTTCTTGGTTATTAATTTCCACTGCGTAAACCAGTTGTTTTAAATGGCCCCATACAAAGTAGTCCAAAGGGTTCAAGTCAGGTGATCTTGCAGGCCATAGCATCGGACCACGCTGACCAATCCATCTCCCATTAAAAGTTTGGTTTAACCAGGCGACAACATTTCGTCCAACATGCGGTGGTGCTGCGTCGTGCTGATACCACATACAATTGTATACCAAATCCACAGGAAAATCTTCCAGCAAATTTGTGAGATCATTTTATAAAAATTGCAAGTACGCATATGCATTCAAACGATTAGAAAGGACTTGAATCGGAAGTAATCGTCCGCTCCATACATTAATAAAGAACCTTTGTTGAAAACTTCTTCTTTTAAAAGCGTGAGGATTTTCTAAAGACCATACATGTTCATTACGGCAGGTATTTATGCCATCCCGAGTAAAATTAGCTTCGTCCGACCAAAGCGTCTCTCTGAAGAAATTTTCATTTTGTCAATGCGTCTGGTACTAATTTCTGGATTATCGAGCACACAATATATCGCTTCTTCTTCCCTCACAGCATCATAATAATTATTTAGGGTAGCACAACCAGCACCAGTACAGGAATTACCAATTACAAACTGTCATAGCCTTTGTTAAGCGTCGGAAAACACCCGACGAGATAGTTGTCGTTATTAGGGAATCTTTTGTTGTACTCCCGACAAGCTTTTAATGCGTTGACATCACAAAAACCGTACACAAGAATAATATCAGCATATTCTTGCATAAACTGCATGATTAACAAAACAACTAATCCAACAAAGCAACTTTTAAATTTGTAAACAATTTTTGTTGACAGTAAACTCACTTATTTCTAGGCTTACTGTAATTTATGAAATAAAATTGGTCGCATACAGAAACTTTAAAGTCTAATATTTAGGAAACAAAGCCATATCTCAAAAAATTTAATTTTACATTTTTCATCAAGAATATAAAACTGTATACATTTCTTAATTTTTCGCCTCAAGTTTTGAATCACCCTGTATGTATATCTATTTTCGTTACAAATTCAATTAATCTTTGGGGAGGGAAATCTAAAAATATTGTATGGAATAGTGGCAAATATAAATATATAAAACATAACATCTATTAGTAGGAATCAAGTTTTAAAGCTGTATTGCTATGTTTGGTTTAGATCAGTCGTTCCCAAACTTGTTACTATGCCCCTCCTGATAATTTAGACAATAACTGCAATATTATTTATATTTATTTCTGAAATTCACAAAAAAACTAATAACCCATAACACCCATTATTGATTGTTTTTCTGTCTTTTAATATAGTCTCAAAACAGGTTCTTTGCGACCTATTATGCGGTAAAAAAAATTTTGACTACGCTAATTTATAAATTAAAAATTCAAATCATAAACGCCTAATATATATTTTTAAGCCAGGAATAACTTTTCGGAATCACTGGTAACTGAAATTTCGTGAATTTTAACATTTTTTGTTTTAAAGTCTGTTTTAAACATGTATTATACTATGTAAATAGCTTATAATTATAGCTATTTACTCTTTATAAAACCGTTGAACATGCATGTTTGTGAACTACATAATATGAGGATGAACATATTATGTTCTCTTGGCGTCTTTTTGCCTCTCTGTTGTAGAAGGGACCCTTCCACACAGCCTGTTTCATTGTAACCTTAAAGGCTGGATTAGGCTAAAGCCCTGTTAGGGCTAGTAATTTATCCTCAATGTCATTAAGTTGTTTTACTGGCTCCCTGGCATTGCCAGTCTCCATGTGAGAAATGTGCGTTCAAGTCACTAAGGGCCGGTTTTTCAATCATAGTTTAAACTTGGTTCAGCATTTGAACTTGGTTCAAACAAAATATGCCGTTTTTCAATCAAAGTTCAAGCTTGAACTTGGTTTAAACTAAATCAAAAGATGAACCGTCACTGTTGGCCGTTTAAACGAAGTTCAACTTGACATAACTCACAATCCACACATTGATTGTGACATAACTTAATTTTTCTCTGCTTTATTGTGTATTACGTTGTTTATTTCTTGTTTTGTAATCTGCTGTTATAATAAACCAATGGATATTTTTGAGGTAGTTAGTGAGGATTATGAGGAAATTGGCGAATTTCTAAATAATATTCAACTTCGTGTGAACAGGCCACGGGTAAGACCGAATCATTTTGAAAGGTAGATTAATGATGAATTTTTTGCCAGATTTCGGTTTTCCAAACCTTTTGTACGTAGGATAGTGGATTTAATTAGACCAGTTATTGCAAATCCTACCAATAGATTAGTTATAAAAATAATTACAAATTAGGTAATAGATTTTAGTAAAATTCATCACATGTAACAAAGAACGACAAATTCATTTTATACTATAAAACGAAATACATACAAATAATTTCTCCTTAAAAGAGGTAAAGTTGGCAGCACGATTTTTATCCATAATAAATAATAATTATTGTTCTTTAACAATAGTAAATTGTTTTAAAGCACCCTTTCGCACAGATTTGAACTTTTTAAAACAGCACAGATAAATAAAACTCCAAAAGTAAACACAAAATTCTTTTGTCAAAATGACAGTTTTAACTACTATTAATGTAGGCGTATACTAAATTCGGTTGTACCAACTTAACGTTGACACCGCTGATCTAAGTTAAACAGAACTGCTGTTGAGTCGACATTGAAAAACTCATTTGACTGTGAACTGAGTTCATTAACTGATCTAAGTTCCCTGAACCAAGGTTTAAATCCTAATTGAAAAACCGGCCCTAAAAGTCTGTGTAAAAATAATAATAACAAATAATTATTTTAAGATATTTTAAGATTACCCTTTTCCATTTAAGGATGGACTTAATGGCCCCGCCATAAGATCTGTTATTTGGCTAGTTTACCATAAAACGTTTTTCCCACGTATTTTTAGAATGTGGATTTTGTTAAATTGTTTTTAAATTTATTTAATATATTAAATATCACCAATGATTTTTAAAATAATTATTTAACACAATTCTAGTTTATAATTTGCGACTTTTAGGTAATAAAACTAAGATTCTTCTAGAAACATTTATCACTGTTCAGAAAGACTTAAGGTCAAGCTTTTAAACATGCAAACGGAATACCTTTAAACATGGGTGAACATACATGTTAAGAAATCGATGTTTATGAACAGCAAGAAAGGGAATTAGGCCTGTTAGGCAGAAAATCATCATTAATAATAATAATAATAAATACTTTATTGATCTCAAGAAACATAGATTGTTTATAGAGGGACAAACTCTAAACATCTAATAATTACAATATATCTATCACAGTGATAATAATAACAGATTTTTAATGCTGGAATTATGCTTGATTGGACCCATGACCAATCACAAATGCACTTAATTTATTATGACAATCTCAAAATTGCACGCAAAACTATTCCAGTATTTAAATGTTTCCCTTAACCTGATAAACTTCAATCTGTTAATTTATCAATTAGTATAAGTATCTTGAGCAGTACTAAAAATTATCTTTTGACAGTACCTAAATAAAACTTTGTTTTTTATAATAAAGGCTAATATTTGTGGCCAAGAAATACAAATATATAATGAGTCAACCACGCCAAATGTGTCAATGAGTTTTTATTGATTTTTTGGAAAGTAACAATAATTGTAAAAATCTGTAAACAAAAAGCACTTAAAATCATTTTTCGAAATTCCGCACTGTTTTTAATATTTTTACTACATTTAAAAGACTCGTTCGCAAAAATCTTGTAAAAGACTTGTAAAATGTTGTAAAATGTGTAAGATGAAAATATTCAAATGTATCTAAAGACATCGGTATGTTTAAAAAATATTATTTGCAAAAAACAGGTTTTTAATAAGTATTATTTAAATAAATAATTTAAATTATTTATACCTTCTGGGCCTACCATCCAATTATTGTGAACGAATCGTGAGATTTAAAAAGATTTAAATATTTTTTTGTTTGGTTATTATCTAGAGATTTTAACAATTATTGTTAGGTACTTTCCAAAAAATCAAGTAAAATTTATTGACACATTTGACGTTGTTTGACTTAATGTAACTGAATGTACCATTAACACTATTTGTTTTTGTTTCAGGTGGTAACTAACAGGGACACACAAGAAACGTTGCTTTGTACGGCGTACGTATTCGAGGTGTCGAGCTCAGAACACGGAGCCCAGCACCATATCTACAGGCTGGTAAAAGATTAGCGGAATGGCGAATCTTTTATTTACACCCTTCACTTCAGTGCCTACAACCACACAATACTAGTATTATTATTATTATAATCGGTTACATAACTTAGTAAATATAGCTAGGTAAAATTAAAATCGAAATTGCCATTGAATCCAAGTAAAAGGTAACTTTAAGTATCAATCTTTTGCTTCGATAACGACCCTACAATACATAGAAGTTTATCATTTGTTTTTTATATGATAGGTTTATAAAGCGACGTACTCTACACTTAGGTTCTTTGTTTTGTATTGCCAAGCTATACTTTAGGTGTGATGGTCAATATGAAGCCTTTGAAAAAGTAGATCTTGTAATATTATATTTTTATTTATTCATAAATTATTTTACAATAGAATTTATTTAAAAACGTATATATATATTTATATATTTTTATTTTATTTTGTACTGCTGGACACAGTGCAAGGGACTTTTGCAATATCTTAAACCACAACACAATATCTACTAGAATATATTTATATAAATTGAAGGTGTTTATATTGACCACATAAAATATTATATAATTATTTACTGTCATTAAGCTTAACATAAATTAATTTTAATATAAAATTTCGTTGAAATTTGAAAATTAAATAAATTTACGCTTAAGGCAATAAATCTTTATAGAACCATCTGATTTAAGATTATCAACGTTTGATTTAAACGATTTAGTTTTAAAAGGTTGCTATTTGTGATGATTAATTTAAGCTTAAATTGTAGATTTTTATTTGATTTAAAATATTGAGTATTTTAATTTTTTTAGACTTAAATATTTTAGGTCTGTTCATACCAATCTCACTTACGTCAAAAAGTACACTAGTGGAGGTGGTCTAGCTATACAGGGTGCACCAAGTATGCTTCTATGTGTATTATACATAGTATACATAGGTATTTTTTTAAATAAAGATCTACAAGGTTTGTTAAAGTAGAGAAAAGTTGCCTTATTACAAGCCTATTCAAATATAATTTATAAATTTAAAAAATAGTCAGTGGTTCTCAAAATATTAAAAAAAACTAAGAACCTTTCAAAATCAAAATTCTTTATAACTTTGTTATAAAACTAAAACCCTGTCAAAACAAAAAAGTAAGTTTTACATGTAAGCATACACTAGGGTGAGCCAAAAAAACTAACCTATCGGATTTATGGGTTAAAATGAACCTACATACCAAGCAAAAAATTTCCCTGCAAGCCAAAATTTTTTGCTCAATTTTAAAAGGTCAGTGAGCATTCTAAGTTTTCCATTGAAATAACACGTAAAAAAATCTTTTTTTATTAAAAAGACTAGGTATAACTTTTGAACCGTTTGAGATAAAAATTTTTACGTCGCGGATTCTTGTAGAGCATAAAATTTCCCAAAGAATCTATACCAGGATTTTTTTTTATTAAAAAATTCGTATGTTTGAAAGCTTTGAAAAGTGTAAAAAATCACTAAAACTGCAGTTATAGTCTTTTTAATAAAAAAAGATTTTTTTACGTGTTATTTCAATGGAAAACTTAGAATGCTCACCGACACCTTTTAAAATTGAGCAAAAAATTTTGCCTTGCAGCGAAATTTTTTGCTCAGCATACACCTTATTTACATTTCCATTGAAATTATTCTTTTTTTTTACAATGGTCGCCATAACTTATCTAATTTGATACATTGTTGGATTCCTTGATTTTTTTTCCATCAAACCATGTACAATATGGCGACCATAGGAAAAACATAAGAATCTAGTTGGCAAAAAAAATCACAAATTGGAAAATGTAGATAAATGTGTCTTTACATGTGAAATCCACTTTTTTTTCTAAATACCCGGAATAACTAAGTTATAACGATTTTTGGTTTTGACAGGGTTTTAGTATTTTTTTAATTATTTGAGAATTGCTGATTTTTTCCATTTTAATAGACTTGTAACTACGCAATTTTTCTCTATTTTCTCTTCAAATAAAAAATATACCCATACATAGAAGAATACTTGGTGGACCCTGTATATGAACAGATCTGTTTTTTTGTAGCTTTAGTATGAGATTTCTCCACAAAATATTCCCTATTGCAACAATTCAATAATTAAAAAACTTATTTATTTACAAGTGAAATCAAATTACAGAAAGTCAGCTTTAACAAAAGTTTTAAATTTTGTGGAGCATCCCAGGCCCTTGTGTTCAAATTGGCAGCCATCATTTAAATTTGATTTATATTTTAAAAAAATGAAATAATAACGAAATAATGAAAAAGACCATTATAAAAATCTTGAGCACTAAATTTGAAACAATTTTTACATATATGTGTTTTATATAAACTTAAGTTTACTGTGGTAAAAATATGTTTTGAAATGTATAAATGGAGTAAAAAATGTTTTACTTTATTTCAAAACATATTTTAACCATAGTTAACTTAAATTGATATAAAATTTTACATTCTTAAAAATAAAACAGGCTCACTGATAGGAAAAACCTTTCCTTTGTAACTTATAAGTTTGCATTGTGCAATTAAATGAAAAATATTTATTTACAATAAACAATATATTTTGGTCCATCAAGTTTGTGAAAAATATGATATTTTTGCAATTTAAATGGAAAATCAGTGTAATTTTGTGGCAATCATTTTGATCTCTAAGTATGTTTCTGTATTAAATTTTATTTTTATACAAAAATTAAAGCTACTTTTTAATGAAATTTTCGATGCGCTGACTCGACTGTCTTCTGTGAAGACAAAGAATCTGAAATTAAATGATATTTGAAATTTTGCATGCATTGCAATAATTATTAACTTGTAAAAATTATTTTTACGAAAATATGTAAATTGCTTAAAAAATAAATCGATGATATATTTTAAAGATAAAGAAAGTGTCAGTGTAAAAAGTAATATTGTATATATTGAAATAACATATTTCTATAAAAATGGCGGCTATAAATATTTTTATCGTCTTGCAAATGTAAAGTTCTTTATAAAGTGTGCTATATTATTCAGATTTTTATTCATATCTGGAAATGCCATATCAAAGTAAATTTATTGAATCTTACAATTTTTGCTCTGTATGTGTACAGTATTTTAAATCATGTTTATAATTTGTATGGAAATTACAAAAATATAAAAATAAATATTATTATTTAATACCTTCTATCCTTTCCTAACACCTTTAAGATTTTTACAAATCTTCAGTAATTATTGTAGACCGGATTATAAGCAACATAAAAGGCTGAAATTTGCATGAAATATATATGCTTAAAATATACAAGGTAGGCATAAAAGAGCATAAAAGAGTGCAATTAAACACTCAAAATAATAATATTTAAATTTTTATATCTTATCCTATTAGTGTATAAAGGAATTTTTGATTTGACGTTCGATTTCGTCAATTTCAATTAGTATAATTGTAAAATAATTTTGGAATTATTGAACTATAATAGTTCTTATAAGTTCTATATCGGTTTTAATCGGCGTCTTACGTTCTTAATTTTAATTTAGACTAAAATGGAAAATAATTTTGAAACTAAGATTTCAATCGGTTTTAATCGACGTTCGATTTAATCAATTTCAATAATAATAATAATAATAATAGTTTATTCATCTTTAAAGTATTACAGAGATAACAGTGTATACTTATTAGACTAGTCAGGAAAATACAATACAATAGTTTAAGAAATACAAATTAAAAATATACAATTGCTAATTGCTAGAGCCAGAGTTGACTAAAAACACTTAATTAATATTATAATTTAAAAACTCTTCTACACTATAGTAAACTTTATCCAAAAATAATGCATTTTGGTGTGAATTGGAAAATAATTTTAAAATTATTGAACTAAGATTTCAATTGGTTTTAATTAATTACACTAGGTAAATTTTCAACTCTTGAAATATCACAGCTAAACGTTCGGTCACGTAAACCAGTGGCGGCTGGTGGATTTTGGGCACACCCATATCTTAGTTATTAGACATGGGACCCACATCAAATTTGTATGAGTATACTATATATAATGACATTATATAGACAAGTTCTGCGCAATCAGAATTTAAATTGAAGTTTGCGAAAAAAAGTTAGTTTTTAAGTGTGCCCCCCCAGCTTCCTGCCCCCCCCCCCAAATTAAGATAATTCAAATTAAATTGGTACAATATTTAATTCACTGAAATTTTAAATTTTATTAAAAAAATTCAAGAATTACAGGTTTTATACCATTTTAAATTTTTATTATTTTACTAAATTTAAAAAAAATTAGAAATGGTATAAAATCTGTAATACTTGAATTTTTTTTAATAAAATTTGAAATTTGTCGATAAACTTCAGTGAATTAAATATTGCACCACTTTAATTTTTATTATCTTAATTTTGGGGGGCAGGAGGCTGGGGGCCACACTTGAAATTTTAAACTAACTTTTTTTCGCAAACTTCAATTTAAATTCTGCTTGCGCAGAACTTCTCTATTATAATGTCATTAAATTTAATGAGTATTAATACTCATACAAATTTGATGTGGGTCCCATGTCTAATAACTGAGATATGGGTGTGCCCAAAATCCACCAGTCGCCACTGACGTAAACATAACTTTTGGTTGTATACATGTGCACACACTGTATACTGTATATAAAAAAAAGTGTTCCTTTTGATCAATTAATTTCAAATTTTGCAAGAATTTGTTTTTTTTAAATTTGTAACTATTGTGTGGGTCCGGCCAAATTGATTTTTTTAATATATACAGGGTGTTTAAATTTATACAGGGTGTTTCCAATATCTTTGAATTTTGACCCGATATTTGTATCGATACAGCTAAACCATGGATATGTAATCTACAACCAAAAATAACTTTCGGTGTCCGAGCGTTTAGTGTGATATTTTCACCACCCAAAGTGTTATTAATTGGTGTTTTATTTCATCAATTTTAATTGGGCTGAATTGGAAAACAAAATTTAATTGGAATATTCCATTAATATTAATTCAGCCCAATAGAAATTAAAGAAATCGAACGTCGAATAAAACCTACTAAAATTTTCAATAAAATGCCGAATATTTTTATTGGTTCCAATAGGAGATTTTTAGAAGGGCAATATTGCCCTTTTTAAAATTTTTTAAGTCCTAATTTTATATTATCTATATTATAATATATTAATTACCTATAAGACTTGTTCTGAACATGGCGCAATAACAGGTAACATGAAGGGGAAGTTATTTAGTATATGTAATGCTTAATAAAACGAAAACAACTTTTCTGTTTATAAAACTGGCAACACAGCGTGTGTAAAAAGTCAAAGTTTTACTACATTCAAAAAAATGTTTGTTATGGAAACAATTCATGGATTTATTATGTATGATTTAGCCAGCATTTATTGTAATGTAATGTATTGTAAAGTTTAAAGTTATATGACTCACCCATAGTTAATCACCCATTTAAATTTAGAAAAACCCTGTATAAAAATGATTCATTGAATTAAATATGGCGCTTACTCATTTGTCATGCGCAAAAAACCACTTGTTTATTTACCTGCTCAATCTAACCTCGAATGTTCAAATTGTTTTTTGTTTTAGAATTAGAATTTTGTTGTTATTTTATAATTTGAAGCAAAATGCAGATACAGTTTTTAAGCATTTTATTTTTGTGTGTATTTTTCTCAATAATACAACAAGGTAATAATCATATTAATTAAACTACTGGGTGTGGCTATTTTATAAATATTTCTCTTTAAGGATCGTCATTGTGGTGTTATCAATGCGTTTCCACTCAGCCCGGCTGCGGAACACCATTTAATTGGCTCTGGTATTGGACTAAAATTTGTCCTGAGGATGATGACGTCTGTGTAAAGATAATCGAGGAGAAAGATGGTAATGATAGGGTTATCTAATCTATAAAATAAGATTAAATTAAATTTGAAATAGAAGGATTATTTGAGTAAATGCATCCAATGTTTTTTGTACTAATAGCACTAAACGTGTACTGCCTACAAAAAACAAGTTCATAGGTATTACATTTATTCTAAGTACAGTACAAGAGGCCTTAATAAAAATGATACTATAGTATAGTAACTATACTATATTCATCAAATTAAAAAACCCTTCTAAACAATTTACAACAATTAAAACAATTGTCATTTTTTAATTGTTAAAATTGTTTTGATGTTTTTATTCAGAATTTGACATAAAAAATGTATTGCATAAAAGTATGGTTGTGTGTATCTTATGGGATTTCCAGTGTAGAAAAATGTTGGGAAAATGGCAAAAACTCTCGGTTTCCTGGCCTTTACAGAAAAGAAAAAGCAAACTTGAGTTTTGTGGGCTTTGTGGTACTTGATTTATAAGACATACTTTTGTTTCCAAAAACTTTATATTAAGGCCAAAATTTCAAAAAATGTTTTGTATATAGCCGGTTTTGCTCGAAAACCGAATAAAAAACGAATAAAATGTGAAAAAAACCTTTATTATTCAAAAATATTAACATAATAAATTTAGTGCAAACATGAAAAAGCAGAACAAATTTTAGTAGTAGTAGGTATCAACATATCCAAGCCACATATTATTTATTGGATATAGCCGGGTTTGCTATAAAAACGTGGATTTGGCCGGTTTTGCTCCTAAAACTACCTTTTAAATGTGATTTTATATAATAATAGTCGCCGACTATTAGTCGGATTTACACAGAATTATCTTGGTTGTCGATAGAAATGAACCCAAAGATGCGAAATCAAAAAAAAACAAAAACTCAATAAAATGGATTTAGCCGGTTTTGCACGTATGCTCCTCAAATATACATGTATTTTTGGATAATATTATTCAGTTTTTTTTTCAAAAAGGAATGCAGGAATTTATATGAAATTATAAAAAAATATTTGGAAATTTGTGTAAATACTTAAATTTTGTCCCATGGTAAATGGGTCTTTCACTGAAGTCACTAAACATTAATACTTGTAGCTTGTAAATAAGGATTATACTACCCAAAAATATCTATTAGCCAGTTAATCTTTTCCTCTCATATGGCATTGGGAATTATTTTATCAAAATGCTGTTTTGTTTTTAAAGTTTCCCTTCTTTTTGTTTAGAATTTTCTGTTATCTTTGGCATTGTTTATTATAATTCTAACAATTTAATGTCAAAGTATTTAAAATTATAAGGGCCGTAATGTGGTGGTGTGGTTGGCTGTAAAAGGCACGTGGATACCCTGCTTAAAATACCCCATAGAGACCTATACAAAATAATCTATCGGGCGCTACCGGATTCTATATGTGCATTTGTCCATGGGTTTTTCCGGATACAGCCCGATAGAAAATGTATAGGAAATTACCTATAGGCACACCATAACTTTTACATTTTTCCTATTGAGACCGATAGAAAATAACTCAATGAAGGATATATGGGGATATCCCTATAGAGCAACCATAAAACATTTGACAAAATTTTATTAAAACCTATAGGGTCCTATAGGGAAAAAACTAATTTCTACATTTATGTGTATTTTCCCCATTGAAACCGATAGCAAATAAATCAATGGTGGATATCCCTATAGAACAACCATAAATCTCAACTACGGGTCCTATACAAACCGATACACCCTATAGAAACACCATACATCCCGATACAAATATCTATCGGTTTGAACAGGGTCTCTATGGGGTATTTTAAGCAGGGTATGTAATCTCGCCTCTAAAACCTCCCTGCATGGTACTAGTGACATTGCAGCATCCTAAGGATGTTCTAGAACAGCTGTCTCCTGTTTACAGAGCCCCTTAATTTTTAGAATGGAGTTTAACTGGCCTTTTGGGAGAATTTAGGACCAGCAGTAAGCTAAATGGTAAATTCTCAAATAACTTGTTTCGATGCTATATCCACTTATTTTTGTGAAAACTAATTCTCGCTCAAGGTTTTTTTTAGTGTGCATGTAGCATTTTAAGGTAATGGGAACCCTAATCTATTAATTTTTTCCTAAAATGCAGGCTTTATGTTGCAAATGTCACATAAGTTACCGGTCACCAACTGCAATATCCTAACATTGATGAATATTTTAACAAAATGGCTGTTGAAACAACTAATGTTAGTGCTTGATTAACTAAAAATAGACTTAAGATTGACGAAAAATTACTTTACTGCCGATTTATTTTAATTTACGATTGTTGACTACTTTACTGCCGATTTCGGATAAAATAATTTTTTGTCAATCTTAAGTCTATTTTTAGTTAATCAAGCACTAACATTAGTTGTTTGAACGGCCATTTTGTTGAAATATTCATCGATGTTAGGATATTGCAGTTGGTGACCGGTAACTTATGTGACATTTGCAATATAAAGCCTGCATTTTAGGAAAAAATTAATAGATTAGGGTTGTCATAATTTAAGTTCCCATTACCTTGAAATGCTACATGCTTATTACACTAAAAAAAAACCTTGAGCGAGAATTAGTTTTCACAAAAATAAGTGGATACAGCATCGGAACAAGTTATATGAGAATTGACCAAATATTATATTAATAATAATAATAACACAGTAAGAAGATATGAGGAAAGTAAAGTGCTGGAAGCAGATAAGGGAAACATAAATCAAAAACCCCTTTAAAAAAGTTAGCAAACAAAAATAAGCATAGAGAAAGTAAGAAAGAAAGCGACCTGCGGCACCCTGACTTGGGTACAGTGGTTGGATTTGAAGGGTGTGTAACAGTTGAGGTTAAGAGCTCCACGGCCATCGACCGCACACAAGCCCCCGTCTGTCACCAAACAGCGACAGCCAATCACAGAAATAGAGGGTATTTCTGTGCAGCCAATGTGCAGACCAGTGCTGCCAATGACACGGCAATTGCCGTGTTTTCACGGCTTTTTAGACTAAAAGTATGGCCACGGCTTCATGGTACTGCCGTGCATTTATAAACACGGCTTTTTCGTTAAAATATGATCTCATATTTTACCATTTCTGTCTTAAAATATTTAAATTTTAAATAAAAATGCTATTTAAAAAGTCATATTTCACCATTTCTGTTATAAAATATTTAATTTTTAAATAAAAACACTACTTAGTTTTACTAAAGTTAATAATCATCTCGAAGTGTATCACAGTTTTGTCTGCTTAGACAATTGGCAACTCTGGTCGAAGACACGGGGATTTACCGCTTTATATTATTTTATTATAATTGTAAATTAAGTGCGTGAAACTTATTACTTACTTACTTACTATTTTTAGTTATTTTTTTTATTCCAATGATTGAATTTCAAACTTGACACGGCCAGGGATCCCGGGATTGACACCCCTAGTACTAACATAATCAAATGTGTAAAATTCCGGATAAAAAACAAATATTTTATTTATACTTTCTGGTGGTGGTAATATCAGGGCTCCCTAGCATAGAGAAAGTAACCATGGCCTCTAGCAATGTTGCTTCTCAATTATTGCCAACTGTGTAATATTTTATAAGTTTATTAAAAATATTTATCCTGGACGCTATCTAAAGGCCCAATAAGAAATCGGTGGCAGAAAGGCAAAACATGATAACTCACTAATTAAAAACTTTAATTTATTAAATGTATGGCATTCTAAAATATATTATTTTTGATCAATTATCATGTTAATGCTAAACATATCTATGTTATTAAAATATATTAATATATATGGTTTTGCCAGTTCACTATTCATTCGTGTTAACAACTTAATATCGAAAAAAATTGAGTTAAAATGTTTTGCCACCGAAATGTAAACTAATTTTTAAATGAAAAATCTTGCATGCAAACGTAAACGCGTTTAATTGTCCGCATTTACGATAAAGTTTGTATTGAAACTTTGCACAATTTGCAAATTCTGCCAATATATTTACGCAAAATGTATGTAAATTCTTTTCATATATTATTATATAAGGGTGTATCAGATTTTAATAGGGAAAATTTAGTTTATTCCATGCAAAGTCAATGTAAACAGCAAGGAAATCAGGGTACGATCAATTTACTGCACCAGGCACTAAAATAAAATACCAACATTTGTATTGACTGCTCCCTGTATGCATTTATACTGTCGCATTTTAAGGCTTAAGAAGATGCCGCCTATGATTAGAGTTTTAGTTTTGATGCTGTTTACACTGACTTTATAGACTAGTTGATTGATATAACTCGCTAAATTATGAAGACATATTTATATGAACTAGTATGTTTTAAGCATTGATTTGATAAACACGGTATTTTTTTTAAATTTAAAGACTTTTTGGCCGAATTTAATAAAAGATTTCAGGTTTTTGACAATGATCAAAGGGCTTAACAAAATGCCATTTCGCCCACTGGTGGAAGTTAAGAAATTAAAGGGGTGTTCAATAAAATTTGTTTTGTCATATATAATTGTTCATAATAATTAATATTTGAACAATTTTTCTTCCATCTTGGTGCCTTTTGTGCACTAGTTACACAAAATGTTGTCTAAATTGGTCTTGAAAACTATGTCCATTTAACCAGAAACACAAAGCCATCCACACACACAAGAGTACGTGAATTTTTCAAATCTTGAAACATTCATTCAATCTGTTGTACAAATCACAAAATACTTCGCTAAAACGATATTGTCCTAAAACCATTCGTACTATTTGAATATTCGACTTGACTAATTCGTAAATACGAATATTCGCACACCCCTATTTATTTATACATGTTAAAATAAATTTTATTTAATTTGCTCACCCACGAAGTTCGGGTTCGATTCCCAGTACCAGAATACTAAATTCATATTTCTTTAATAAATTTTCGAGACAAATTTAATACAAATAAGCGGACACCGCATGATACAATTTGTAAGCAACTCTGCTTAAAATACCCCATAGAGACCCTGTTCAAACCGATAGATATTTGTATTGGAATGTATGGTGTTTCTATAGGCTGTATCGGTATGTATAGGACCCATAGTTGGGATTTATGGTTGTTCTATAGGGATACCACCCTTGATTTATTTGCTATTGGTTTCAATGGGAAAAATTCACATAAATGTAGGAATTAGGTTTTTCCTCATAGGTCCCCATAAGTTTTAATAAAATTTTGTCAAATGTTTTATGGTTGCTCTATAGGGATATCCCTTTATATCCTTTATTAAGTTATTTGCTATCAGTCTCAATAGGGAAAATGTAAAAGTTATGGTGTGCCTATAGGTAATTTCCTATAAATTTTCTATCGGGCCGTATCCGGAAAAAACCATGGACAAATGCACATATTGAATCCAGTAGCGCCCGATAGATTATTTTGTATAGGTCTCTATGGGGTATTTTAAGCAGGGAAACGTGTTTTATACATTTTGATCAAAATACTTTTTTTTGTTTATCTCAATCATATGGCAATAATAATTTTAAATAGCCTGACAAGTACATTTTGAAAGAACATGAAGACAGAAAATTTTATATTTTTTATATAATATATACATATACGTATTCAATATATTATTATACCAATATAAAACTTTGTAAAAAAGTTCTATCTTTTACTAATTAAACATGTAGTTGGCGTGTTTTACATCTATATCATATATTGTATAAATTTCAGGAGAAACTGTTATAACAAGAGATTGTCTAAGCTCTATGCAAGCTATCCGAACAGATATACCAGCTGATCATTATGAAGGTTGTAGAGCTGCAGCAGTTGATGAAAAGTTAGGACATTATGTCAATAATTCAATTAAAGAGTTGGACATTCATAGGTTATAGATAAATTATAAAATTGTTTAATAATAATTATTAACTTAACATTTTTTAGAACCTACTATGATAAAACAACTTGGTGTTTCTGCTTCCTCGATCATAGATGTAATGACAGTACAACACAAAGTCCATCATTCATTTTAACAGGTATAGGTTTAGTGTTGACAATTTTTACCATGGCTTTTTATTAAAAAGTTTTTAATTCCATTTTAATGTTTATATGAAGTATTTTATTATTGTGAATATCAATATATTTATTGGTATCTACATTTATTATTAATTTAGCATTAAGTACAAATTTTTACATTGTTCCGTCCCTTAGATTTATTGTTGACAATTTTTACCATGATTTTTTAATAAAAAGTTTTTACACTTCAACTAATTTAATTATGAATCTCAAATTTGTATGGCTGTTATTGATGTAATAACGTATTATTAATTTGATATACTACAATTTGTTACAATGTTCCATCCCATACTCTTTAATATACATAGTTTCAAAAGATATGCATCACCTAAAATCTCTGTTTAGTTTAGTCTTGTACTAAACAAATATTAGCAATAAAAACTTACATGAATAGAATTTTTTATAGAAAATTTAATGCTTTAATCAGTCAGTTATATGAAGAAAAAAAATTGGTTGCAGGAACCAATACTGCTACAGTAGAAATCAATTTATATTATTAATCTTATAATACAATACAAATTTTTTTTTAAATCTGGCAATGGTGAACATTTAACTGTCAAACGTTGATGATGCAGGCGCAACTTATTTTATTTCTACTGTACATGAAAACGAGGGGTGATGAATAACTTTTGTGGCCTTGTGTATAATATGTATTAGTTATATTAAGTTATAATAATATTAAGATATACTCATTTTTTTCTAAATTGTTGCTATTGAATTTAAGTTGTAAATATTGATAAATATTTTTTATACATAATTGTAATTAAATCCGTCCATGAGTATGTATTGAAATAAAAATCATATTTACATGTATAATAGATTTAAAGTTTATTAAAATACATATATACAAAATTTGTATCAATACATATAAAATTTACATTGTATAACAATAAATGTACATTTTAAAACAATAAATTTAAAATAATTTACATCACAGAATATCGTCCCATTAATGAAGTGTTACAGTCGTCACAAACTCTGACTGGTTTTGCTGAAGAAGGAAGTGACATTGAATTATCAGAACAAGAGTTACAAAATATTTCGCCACAGTTTCGACAATGGTGCTAAAAAATGTTTTTTAGAAGGTATTGCATACCATTTTGATAGTTAGCCTGGGTTAAATAGTACAATTTGATTTGATATGCATTTTTAATAAACAAAACTAATCCAAACAAAGGACAACTTCCACTTAAGTTATAATTAAATAAACTATTTAAAGCCAGACTCACAAATCATGTTAAAATATATTAATTACCTTCCGCCTAGTTAAATTAAACTCTTTACTGCAAGCTTTACAATGTGAAACCGTATCATCTTTAGCCCAAGCAGCTTCAGCTTTAATTTTACTGATAGATTCTTCTCGTAATTCTGCAATTTGCAATTTTGTTGTGCTCAATTGAGCCCCTAATTCTTCCAAAGTATGTTCTTGTTCTATACTCTGATCTTTTAGGGAATAATACTCTTCTTGTAGAGAAGCATATTTCTATAAAAAAAAACTACAATAGTTAGAAAGTATTGTACTTGTTTCCATGTCTATATAATTACTGTAAACATCACAGGAAAAAAATTGTCTCTATATGCCCATTAAATAAAGCATGGAAAACTGGCATAAACAAAATATTTTTATGGCTTAAATAAGATTGTCTGCAACATTTAGGAATAACTTTAAAAAAGAGCGTTGCCAATAGGTTTTGGCAAAATTACACCCTAACTCTCCAGAATTACACCGAAAGGCGAAACATATAATTTTGTTTTGCGAAAAAATGCTTTACCATGATATCTTTCAGGGGTATACAATAGTGTTACCATGAAAATATCGTTTTTTTCACGATTATTGATATTTTGTAAAAATTGTATTGTTTTACCGAAGAACACTCGATAAACTTCACGAAAAATATGATATTTCATGTTTTTGAGACAATATTTAGTGATAGAGTATAAAAAACTATAAAAGTCATCATTTACTATTTGAAGTTGAACTTTAACCTCAAAAAACTTTTAAAAGAGTAGACTATGCAAAAAATCATATCAGATCTTTTTTGTAGATCGTTCAATTCCCTACAAGAATATGTATTGATTTCTACAACTCACTGATTCGTTAAAACGCAATAAAATTCCAACCAAAAAAATGTATTTTTCCGGTGATATTAAGAGCTCAAACTTTTTCAGAATTTTTTTTCGTTATCTTGGACGATATTTTCATGGTAGCTAAAGACAAGAAAATTAAAAGTTTTTTTTGGCCCACCCTAGTATACAAACTATCATTTATACAGGGTACTTCTATGGGTATTTTTTTTATTGAAAGAGCTACAAGGTCGGTTAAATTGGAGAAAAGTTGCGTATTTATAAGCCTATTAAAATGAATTTTTTTATGAACCTAAATCGTTTACACTTCCAAGTACTTATTTTTTTAAATTCCGCTTGTAGAATGGGGCCAAGTCGGCATTTGTTTATTAAAAAAATTATATAAATTAGCAACAAGGTTACGGCTCATTGCATTAATTTATAAAAATCCTCTAAAATGTTCATCAACAGGGGTGCATAAATATAAATTATATTAATGATCCTCGATACGCACCTTCTCCTTTAATAAATAATATTGCTTATTTAATCTGGTATTTTATGTATTTAAACATTTTGAAAATGTAATAAAGTCTAATTACATTCTGCATGTTTGCTTCATAATACTGGTCTTTTAAAAATTATCAAAATCGGTTGTGAAGAATCTGGTACGATTTTAATTTCAACAGCCTTTTACTTGTTTTTCACTCTACTATCGAAATATGAAAATGTATTTTTGCGTCATTCTTGTTTCACCTATTCGCATGATGCTCATCGCAACTTGGCTATTCTATCCATCGGACATCCAGGGCCCGAAATTTGAACTTTATCGTTGTCATTTTGACTAAGAATAAAATTGTTATTTCAATCAACGAAATAATAATTATTATGGTTGCGTTTGTACATACGTACTTAACGACGTAAATTGAACGTAGTGATTTATTAAAAAGATACTACAACGTTGGTTGAGCTTTTTTACATTGAGAGAGGGCCCCATTCGATAAATTTGCCAAGGGTCTCAACAAGTATAGTAACGCTACTGGTTTCAAGGGCGGGCGATTGGTAGGAAAGAAGGAAGAAAGGCAATCTATAAATCAGGCTTTACGTTTTTAAGTTAAAGTTTTTAATAAATCCAATCGGTTTTTATTAAGACAAAAATAGGTATAGTACTGGTTCGTCTAAAATTACACCCAAGTAAATTAGACTCAAATGGTAAAATTAGACCGTCATTGGCAAAACAAGTATGTAATGTAAAGTATGTATGTGTAAGGTTGAAAAGACATGAAAAGGTGTTTACTTATAATAGTCGTTTTTTCATATGAAGTTTTTAAGTTACAGGTATTTAACTTTTGAACACTATACAAACAAAATCTTAGCAATTGATTTTTTTGGTCAGCCATTCCACATTACTCGGGAATTTTTGTAGCGTCCATAATAATAAATAAAATTGAATAAAAACATCTGTAATTATTATGCTTATAAGCTTTAGGTTAATTACTACAAGCATAATAAACATGTTTGCTATTTTGCGATAGTATTTAATTTTATTACGGTAGCTTTTACTAACAATTTTTGATTATTACGGACGCTACAGTCAGTAACGTGGAACGGCTGTAATGCTCTAGTATAAGAAAGAGGAAAAAATATTTTTCTTTTCTCAGAAAATTTTTGATAAAGGTTTTGATTTTTCTGAAAACTTTGGACTGAACATTTTTTGATAAAAATATTTGGTCAGTTTTCGATCATTAATCATTTTTCAAAAGTAATTGTTTCTATTGAAATGACAAAGCTTTTACTTTTAAATTTATCGCCAAAAATACATTTTCATCGGCGTTTTATGCATTTTTATATTTTTTCAAGTTAAAATTAATGACATCCTTACTCACTGTGATCAAAAACATTTATTTATCAAAAGAAAATGACAAATGAACGAAAACTGACCAAAATAGATTTTTATCAAACATGTTTTAGTCCATAGATAATAAAAATTATGTGTCGCATATTTTATGGGTTTGAAATCAAGCAAAAACTTATCAAGAATAACGTTTTCTAAGAAATGTAAAATATTTTTTTTCTTTTTTGTATTGTATCATAATAATATTAAATATATAAAAAGGGTCAACAATTAATTTGGAATAATGTTTATATAAGTTAAACATGCTTTATAAAATATATATTTAATAAATATTATTTATATTGCTTAAGTATAATGCATATATAAAGGGTTTCCCAATAGGGATGATATGTTTTTAAATTGATAAGGCCTATATTTAAAATAGTAAAAATGTCATCTTTTGTGTTCAGTTCAGTTTGACAATTAACCATGACAAAATACACGGTTTAACAACGTTTGGTTTTTATCCAAAAGTTTAATAAAAATAATCGTTCTTTTATTCAAACTCAACGGGATCTTCGTGAAAATTATGGTTCACATAATATACCTTCTGTGCTTGCAATTCGTCGAATCGTAAAAAATTTGAAAGATATTTAATTTAGCAAGATAATAAAGTACCAATAATACAACGAAAAGCAAGAACCCCAGAGAATATTGATGCTACTTGTTGCAGAAAATGCAAATCAGTCGATTAATCGACGTTCTCAATAATAATAATAATAATAATCTTTATTTTAAAAATTTGCATACATAGTATAATTGCATCTATGGATAGCGATTACCGAAAAGGAACCAAGTGCCAAAAACTTTTTCCAGGGTAAACAAAATTATAAACTCATTTTTAATGCCGCTCAAAAAATTAATAATGATTTGGGAACCCTCTCAATACTTTTGAGAAAAGTTCCAAATGATGATAAACCTTTTAAGCATTATTAAAAATGAGTTATTTTACAAATAATTTTATTAAGCCCAGATAAAGTTTTTGGCGCTTGGTTCCTTTTCGAAAAGCGTTACCTATCCAATTACAAAAGGAAAAACACATTATGTACAGAAATGTGTAAGGCTCTAAATTACAAATCCAATCATAGACAGTTAGTACTTTTAAACAAATTAAGATTGTTTATATTTTTAACATTTTTTTGGTAAAATGTTGAATCTTTTTATGCAGTCATATAAGCATTGAAAGTATATGATGTGGATAGTAATAGTACACATTACTTAAATGCCCTATATTGTTCTGTTTTTAAATATATACAGTAATAGTTCACATAAAGACCACTTACAGTTAGAATTTTAACATTTTTAAATTGCCCTCTACAGGAAAACATATACCCTAATCCCAAAATTGCACGCAAAACTCTTTTTTTTGGCAAACAAACACCTCTTGTAGTGTCGTACTTTCACCCCAAAAGATTATGCCATACCAAAGTAGAGACTGAAAATTGGCATAATAATAATAATAATAATTTGTTTATGACCCTAATTACAAAGTTTTATTTAAATTACTACAAAGTTGTTTATTGTGATAATTAAAACCTAAGTTTTTATTTATTTGGATGCACAGTAATTTTGTATTTGTATTTATTTTAATTGTGGAAATATTAAATTGGATTTTATTGGTAGGTACTTTGAAATTTACTACTTGCTCTTCAAATATAGGCAATTTGTTTTTTTTATTTAGTATAAGCCTTTTTTTTTTAACCATTTTTCAATATTAGATACAAATGCTTGAATCTCCATAATTAGAGTGTTAAATTTAGATGACTTTACTAATAAATTTGTATCGTACGCAAAATTTATTATTCTTTGGAAATCAAGAACTCAACCTTTCAAGAATGACAACTTTTAAAAACATATCGTTGTTATTGGGAAACCCTTTATTGTATTATACCCTTGTTAAAGCCTTTCTCATGCCCATGCATGCACGATTCTCATGTCTGGCTGACGCCTCGCACCCAAAAAGCCTACTTTGCCTAATGAGATCCACCTTGAAATACACTGTTTTCTTACCTGTGCAATGATTTTTAACTGGTTGTTTTCAGATAATAATTTTGATATTTTCTCACGATCTTGTTGCATAGTGTCTTGCAAAGATATTCGCCATTCTCTTTCCACCTTTAAGTCGCCTTCCACGGAATTTGCTTGCTCTTCCACTTGAGCTGCCTGTTTGTCCACAGCTCGTTTTAACTGTTCAGTTGTCACACGGCTCGATTCACTTTCTCTATACCTTAAACAACGATTTGTAAAACAAACGCTTTTGGTCAAATTTTATTAATACTTATATTTTATTTACCTTTTCAAACAACAATTAATTTAAATAAAATTTAAAAGACTCTTTAGCCATTTAGTTGATTTGTTTTTGAATTTCGTATTGAACTAAAGAAACCTTTAAAAATTATTAGTACAGTCATCTTAGTCAAAAAAAGGGATCAACCTCGGAATCTAACGGAATAAGCTGAATTTTTGTGAAAACCTTTATTTTAGCATTACAAATGTTGTCTCAAAAGTCACATATGCCAACGTGTGAGCGGCCTTAGATATTCAAGGTCAAAGGTCGCAAAAATCAGTTTTTTAAGAATATCTCGTTTTTTCTGCCTCCTATCGTATTTGCATTAATTATAAAAGTTGTAGAAAATAAAATTCTCTACAAATTTTGTATACAAAATTTTTTTATACGTCGAACCGTTTTTGAGATAGAGGGAGCAGAGTGTGGAGCGCTCAGCCATACGTACCTTTAGCGCAAGGTAAATCGTGAATCCCAATCTATTATACCGTTTTTTTAATTAATTATATAATAAATATTACTAAAATAAAAATTTAATACCTTATACCTACCTATATTTAGTTGAAAATTTTAGTAGGTAACTCAATAATATTATGTTTCTTTTTCAAAGTTTATTTTGTTAACTAAAATTGTCATATATTTTATTTTATTTTCTTTTTATATTTTGTCCTGTTATTAGATCTTGTATCTGTTGGACAATAAAGATTATTATTATTATTATTATTATTATTATTATTATTATTATTATATTTATAATTCTTTTAAATCAAATATATTTTATCTTCATATATATCTTATATTTTAATTTAATTTTAATGAAGGATAATTGAATCGGAGTAGGAAAAAATGTTTTTATTTATATCAATATTGTTATTATTATTATTATTATTATTATTAATCTTTATCTTCTTCATCCTCGTCGTCTTCAGGTTGGCCAGCAATTTTAGACTCATTCTCATCATCACTCTCCTCGTTATCATTGACATTAATTGTCATATCTTCAAAAACTTACTTATAACGCGTTTGTACTTTGCAGATTTTTTTGCCTTTGTTGCCTCATCTACGACTTCACCACAAAATAAGCAAAATATTTTAAAATCAAACACATCATTCCCTTTTTTACGAGGTACAGTTGATGACGTTGAAGGTCCAGTCTCTTTAAGGCGACGTTTTGCTGCTGCAATTTTATTATAGTACGCCAAAGATAATTATCTTTGTAGTACGCTATAGCGTCACCCTAATATAACAAGGTTGTATGTTAAAAAACCGAAAAATTTGAGTTTATGCTTTTACAAGGTTTTATGTAATCCACCCTTTATAAAGGGTTGTATGTATACATACAACTTGAAAATAACTCTATATATATGTATACATAGAATATACATTCTATAGAATTATTTTTAAGTTGTATGTGAAGCGTAGGCCACGTATAATCCTGTAGAAACATAGACTTAAATTTTTCGGTTTTTTTTTACATAGAACCTTGTTATATTAGGGTGACGATAGCGTAAAATTTTCGACACTCAATATGAACGTTCACAGAATTCAAAGTATTTAGGTAGTTTATGTTTATTTCTCTCAATAATTGCTTCTTTTAAAGTCTTTATACCGCGCACAGAAGTCACAGAATCACCTTCAGAAAGTAACTTATTACAAATAAAACACAAATCAGCCATGTTAACCTTTAAAATATTACGAATATTACCTGTCACAACCCTAGACCTATACCTAGGGTCACAACTTGCTTTAAAATTTAATATACGTTTACCTAACCTTTTTATTTATAGCAAGCCCACTATATTATTTCCAGGTCTGTTATTTTAAAAGCAATATCTAGATCCAAGAGATGACCAGAGACATATTTAAGGCAAATTCATTTAATGTCTTTTCTTCTTAAAATGCATTTATCATTAATTAGAATAACATTAGAATATATTTAGAATGATTCACTTCATTATTTAATTATTTGTATCTCAAAAGTAAGTAATATTTAATGACTATATGTTTAAAAAAAATGTATAAAAATAAATATAAGGTATTAAATTGTTATTTAAGTAATATTTAATAAATAATTAATTAAAAAAACGGTATTAATATTGGGATTCATGATTTACCTTGCGCTAAAGGTAAGTATGGCTGAGCGCTCCACACTCTGCGCCCTCTATCTCAAAAACGATTGGACGTAAAAAAAAATGTTTTTTACAAAATTTGTAGGGAATTTTATTCTCTACAACTTGTATAATAAATGCAAATACGATAGGAGGCAGAGAAAAGGAGATATTCTCAAAAAATTGATTTTTGCGACCTTTGACCTTGAATATCTAAGGTCGCTCACACGTTGGCATATGTGACTTTTGAGACAACATTTGCAATGCTAAAATAAAGGTTTGTACAAAAATTCAGCTTATTCCGTTAGATTCCGAGGTGAAATGCCTATATGACTGGACTATATACAAAAATAGGGGGATAAAAAACAAATATAAACATAAATAAAACAAAGAAAAAAAGGCAAACCTACAACTACTAACAAAAATAATAAATAATATGAAATTAAAACCACACATATCATAATCCTTTTTATTGAAGCATAATAAGGAAACATTATCAAATAAATATACAACTAAGCTATATAAAAAATATTTCAAAAATAACATTACATTGCGTTACACTTTTTTTAAGATATAACATGTACATCATTGGTCTACATTGTAACAATAAATTTACGAGTAAATTTACGTCAAATTTATTTATTTAGACTTAAAATCTCAAATTTGACTAGCTGCCGTAGTGAAGGTTTGCCAACTTTTCCTAATAATAAATACTACAATTTAATCTATATTAGTTAATTAAAATTGTGGAGGACAATTAATCATTTTTAAAATTGAAATTGTACTCCCAGGAAATGAATTTGGCTTTTAATTTGGGTGTATATAAAATATGTGCCTTTTCTTCTAGGGGAGAACATAAAATAATATATATATATATTAGGGTGTGCCAAAAAAATTCGAAATAGTTTTTTTCTTGCTCTCCACCCAAAATATCGTAGAATATGTCCGAACAAATATTCTGTTAAAAACGGAGCTCATAATTTCAATTTTAAGAGGTCCCTCATCGAATCTGAAGTTCTGCCGCTTAAATAGCACAGAAAACTGACCTTTTTACCTTATTTATTCTTGCAACCTAGGAAGAAATTTTTTTTTCATAAAATCCATGACCAAATCTTACAAAGCATTAAACTTGGACGAAAAAATCTTATTAAGCCGAATTTCTATTTTCATTATTTAATTTTTTACAGAGCTTTAAAATTTTACGTTTTTTGCCTTTTTCAGCTTAACTATTGAAGTTAGACGAAAAAGTCAAATGGTAATTTTTTAGCTTGTCTGATGGACCACAAAACATTTTTAGGCGAATTTTTTATATCGTCAATATTCTAAAAGTTACAGGCGTATAAAGTCATCATTTTTGTATTATTATCTTTAAATTTAAAGCTTTGTAAAAAATTAAATAATGAAAATAGACATTCGGCTTAATAAGATTTTTTTGTCCAAATTTAATGCTTTGTAAGAATAAGTCATGGATTTTACGAAAAAAAAATCAGTTTTCTGTGTTATTTAAGCGGCAAAACTTCAGATTCGATGAGGGACCTCTTAAAATTGAAATTATGAGCTCCGCTTTTAACAGAATATTTGTTCGGACATATTCTACGATATTTTGGGTGGAGAGCAAGAAAAAAACTATTTCGAGTTTTTTTGGCACACCCTAATATCGTAGAATATGTCCGAACAAATATTCTGTTAAAAACGGAGCTCATAATTTCAATTTTAAGAGGTCCCTCATCGAATCTGAAGTTCTGCCGCTTAAATAGCACAGAAAACTGACCTTTTTACCTTATTTATTCTTGCAACCTAGGAAGAAATTTTTTTTTCAAAAAATCCATGACCAAATCTTACAAAGCATTAAATTTGGACGAAAAAATCTTATTAAGCCGAATTTCTATTTTCATTATTTGATTTTTTACAGAGCTTTAAATTTAAGTTAATAATACAAAAATGATGAATTTATACGCCTGTAACTTTAAGAATATTGACGATACAAAAAATTCGCCTAAAACTTTTTTGTGGTCCATCAGACAAGCTAAAAAATTGCCATTTGACTTTTTCATCTAACTTTAATAGTTGAGCTGAAAAAGGCAAAAAACGTAAAATTTTAAATTTAAAGCTCTGTAAAAAATCAAATAATGAAAATAGAAATTCGGCTTAATAAGATTTTTTCGATCAAATTTAATGCTTTGTAAGATTTGGTCATGGATTTTTTGAAAAAAAATTTCTTCCTAGGTTGCAAGAATAAATAAGGTAAAAAAGTCAGTTTTCTGTGTTATTTAAGCGGCAAAACTTCAGATTCGATGAGGGACCTCTTAAAATTGAAATTATGAGCTCCGCTTTTAACAGAATATTTGTTCGGACATATTCTACGATATTTTGGGTGGAGAGCAAGAAAAAAGAAATATCGAGTTTTTTTGGCACACCCTAATATATATATAATAAGTTTTGTTTTTGGTGAAGTCTCTCCAGATTAGCAGACACATATTTTTGGTAATTTTTAACATATCATGATTAATATCCAAAAGCAGAACAACATTTTCAATGGGACATTAAACATAAATATGTATGATTAAGCGTGTAATGTAAAATAAAAAAGTGTACATACTTAGTTTCAAGAACTTGTATAGTATCTGTCATAGAGTGTGCCTTAGCCTCTAGCTTGGATACTAGTTCTGTCTTTTGTTTTAACGATGCCTCACATTCCTGAAATAAGCCAAAGCTACATTTCTCAGTCTTTAATTATGATAAGAACCCCTGTTCAGTATAACAAAAATCCTAAATTGTGCATGTTACACTTTCCGACAAAAATGATTTTTCAGTTTTTAACATTTTTAAACGATATTTTTTCAAGCAGATTATTTCTAAATGATGTGCTAAAGTCTTGTCTAAAAAAATCGACCATCTTCTTTTTTCAATGCCACATGTTTAATGGTTGTACCATTGAGTAAGATCTTACTCAATGGTTGTACAAAGAGGAAATAACATCCTTGTGAAAATTTAAGCCCTTAATATTAATATTTAGTGGCTCCTGAATGCAATTTTCCATTTAATTAACATAGAAAATTAATTTAAGTTATTTCTGAATTTTGTAGCTCATTAACGAGGCAAAGTACATAAATGTTTGATACATAATTTTTGTAGAGAATGCTTTACAAAAAAGTTTTCTTGTAGTTTTTTGATAACTAAACTCTCAAAAGTTATTCGTTGTTAAAATTAAAATTATGTAAAAATTTATTTTTTTTCAAGATTAGCAGATAAAATACTATTGCCCACACAGCACACTACGTCCATTGTACGTCCATTAAAGGTCCAAACTAAGTACATACGTCCATGGACTTTGAATGTACGTCCATGGAGTTTACGCTTTCCCATGTCCTTAGGATGTTCCAGAAGAACGTCCATAGGATATCCATGGATCGACACAAGACAAGAAATAATAAGATGGATGTTCAAAGTCTAATTTAGGACTCCTGCGGTCGATAACGGCTACCATAATAAATAGTTACAGTTTACGAAAATAGCAAACAAAACAATTTTTACAATAATTATTAACTACACTTAAAAAATAAGAAATGTTTTATTTGTTGTTAATTGTTAAAATTGTTTTGTTTGCAAACCATGACAGTTTGGTTAAATTAATTTACTATATAGTACCTAACTATAATTTTATTTATAGAAATACCAAGTTACGAATTAAACTTTATTAATAGGTTTGGTCTATATAAAAAAACTCCGGTCAGCAATAAAAAATACCTCATAAAAAAAGTCAGTCATGATTCAAATCGTATCATAGTAGTCAGTGACATATTATTATTAAAGGCAATGTCATTGAATTATTTCAAAATGTTAAACACCAATATTTTTTTACTTGAATTATTTGTTTAGTGTTAAATATAAAATAAAACTTAATTAATTCACTATAATACCAATATATCAGTTATGGGGCCTATATCAAACTTATATGAGTTTATAATGACATTAAATAGAAAATTTGTGCGCAAGCAGAATTTAAATTAAAATTTGCGAAAAAAAGTTAGTATTCAGCCCGCCTTACCAGCCCCCTACCCCCAAAATTAAGATTATTCAAAATAAAGTGGTGCAATTCAAAATTCACTAAAGTTTATCGACAAAAATTAAAAATTTATTATAAAAATCCAAGACTTACAGAATTATGAATTGCACCACTTGAATAATCTTAATTGGGTGTAAGGGGCTGGTGAGGCGCACTGAAAAACTAACTTTTTTTCGCAAACTTTAATTTAAATTATGCTTGCGTAGAAATTGTCTATTCAATGTCATTATAAACTCATATATGTTTTATATGGGCCTCATGTCTAATAACTGAGATATTGGTATACCCAAAATCCACCAGCCGCCACTGTCTAAACCTTTTTTTATCCTAAATCATATGTTTGTAATTTGATTAGAATAAACAAATGTATACATAACTCAGAATAAACAAGTAAACCAAAATTTTTCACAATTTTCGTTCCTAGGCTCATTTTGACATCATATGGAAGTCCACTTCCAACGTACATTGTATGTACATTTATTACATAACATGGACATCCTATAGTGTGCCAAAGTTACGTTATATGTACGTACATCGAACGTCCATATAATATTCTTGGACATACTATGGATATCAATTTGTACAGAGATGGATGTCCTATGGACACCATATGGATGACTTTGTGCTCTATGGGTGTGTTTTGTTGGTGCTCTTAAAGGGGAATTAATTGTCACGTTATAACACGTTAGAGAAAGGACGTATATTATTATTACTTTCATAGAGTACCAAATAGTTATTTATGTTATTAAGTATTTTTGTGCTGACTTCAAAGTTTAAAGGCCAACGCGTATCGGACAAATTTTAAATCCAGCTTGCATAGTTTAAAAAGTGATTTTTTTGACAAAAATTTAAAAACAAAAAAGCACCCTGTTTATTTTTAAATATTTGAATCGTTTTTTCTTCTGATTTTAAAAATTTAAGTTAGTATGCATTTTACGAAAAAATGTTTAAAATAAAATTAAATGATTCGAGGGGGGAAATCAATCAGTACTAAAATTGGTCCTCATACTCTCCTCCTTAAGGGGGAACAGGGTGTAACATTAAAACCTCCAATGGAACACCCTATTTTTTATTGCAGATTCGGTTCATTCAACTAAAAATAGTTAGATTTTATCTAACACATTTTTTCGTATTTGTAATAGATGGCGCTGTAATGAATTATGGTTGCCATGGATATGGATTTTACCCTAAAATAAGCATGGCGTTTGAAACAATTATTATCGTTTTGTTAAAAATTGGTTATTTTAAGACGTAAGTTTAAGAAAAAAGATCCATGGCAACTATGATTTTTACGTTAAAATACCTAGGTTTTTGGTTTAATTATTATTAAAATGTTTAATTTAAACATGTACCTACAAATGCTATTTTTGAAATTAGAATAAAAAAATGTATCTAAATCGATCTAAATATTCAAAAGTATCCATTGAAAAAACCAATGTTATATCTATTTTATCAATTTTACTAATGCTTTTTTGTTTTTAATTTTTGTAGAAAAATTACTTTTTTAAATCATGCAAGCTGTTTTTTAAAAATTTTAATATCTCTTTAAGTAAAGATTTTAGAGGGGTGTTCCATTTATAAAAAAACACCCTGTACCTACATAGCCAAGTAACTGAGCTACAGAAATAACTTAAATTATTTTGCCATGTTAATTTAATATAAAAATGCATTCAGGAACCACTAAAAATTTTTATTAACGGCTCAATTTTAACAGGCGTGTTATTTCCTCTTCCTATTAACATGTGGAATTGAATTTTTTTCTAACCAGTCTACATATTATCATATTAATTAGTTTTTTAAATTTATTATTGAGTTTAATTTAATGTTGATGCATATATTTTGGAATTTCATCAATCCCGCATAAAAAAATATAATTTGAGCCAACACCCTGGATTTTTTGGATATTTTAGTTAAAACCCATTTAAAAACGATCTTGCTGCATAATAACAATGTTCATACTTTCCATTAAATGTACAAACAAGAATTCCAAAAATAAGACTGTTAAAATAAAGATTTTTTTGAAAACATGTTTTTTTTTATTCTTGAATGTATTTTTCAAAAAATAAAAAGAATAAAAAAATAAGAATTTTTTTTCCAAGTAGGTATAATATGATCATATTTTTCTTCCAGGGTTAATAAAATTCCAAAATTATGAACACCCAGTAAGTTTCTCTTTAAAGGAGAAAAATAATAGTCATAAAATACTCTGCCCGTCAAAATTAACGCATAATAAGTATAAAATTTCTAATTCTAAAACGCCTTTACCAATCTTTATGAAATTTTGTATAAAAATACACAACTTATATCTCAGTTTACGTGTTCGAGGGTTTTAAAAAAAATATTGTTGTATTTTATGCCTGTTATAAACATTTATGTTTTTTGGGTTTAATAAATAAATAAATAAAAAAAAATCCCATTAATTAAATAATAAAAAAAAACTTTCTAAAAATAAATTTTAGAGAATTTTTTTTAATAAATTAAAAATATGGACCGTATTTTTGTTAGTATACCCTAAAAATTTTGTGCAAATCAAACGAACAGTAACAAAGATACAGCGCTTCAAAGTCGTCAAAAATGATTTTTCAGCAAAATAATCAAAAAGGGGTAATTTTTACCGACTTTGAAGCGCTGTATCTTTGTTACTGTTCGTTTGATTTGTACAAAATTTTTAGGGTATACTAACAAAAATACGGTCTTTAACACCATATTTTTAATTTACTTAAAAAAATTCTTTTTTTAAAAACCCTTGAACACGTAAACTGAGATATAAGTTGAAGTATTTTTATACAAAATTTCATAAAGATTGGTGAAGGCGTTTAAGAGTTGGAATTTTTTTACTTATTATGCATTAATTTTGACGGGCAGTGTAGATCAGGTCCTATTGTCATCAAAAACTTTTTTAGTAAGTAATTTTTAAAATTATTTATAAAATCTCTATTTTTAGAAAAAAAATTTGGGACACCATGTATATATTTAAAATCTGTAATTTTATCAGGAGGAAATATGGAATACACAATAATAGAGAGAGATAATATTTAAAAGAAAGATTTTTGTCGCAAAGTGTAATAAACGGATAACATTAAATATAAGAGATAAACCAGATATTTATGTAAAAACCTGTATAAATAGAAAGCAGAACAGCCTTAGTTATCATGGTTAAATATAGGAACCAAAAAGTAAATGCAGAAATACTGTTAACCAAATTGGGTTTAGCGACATAATAAATAAACACGTTTATTTATTTTCATTATCAGTTGGGTTAATATCCAAATCTAATTTAATAAACGAATCGGTAGACTCGGAAGAAACAGGTTTTGGTTCAGATTTTTCTTCTATGCTTGTGGAAGCAGACTGCTTGGGAAATGGCGCTCTAAAGTCGGTTCTCTTTCTCTCGAACGAACGCCTATCGTGCGACTTCTTTTCATCTTTTATCAAATGATTGTACTTTTCTAAGTTATTTAAAATTTTACCAATTTGTCCCGCCTTAGCTTGTAGACGGCTCACCATTTCTCCCTTCTGAGTCAACTCCATTTCGCATTCCTATAATAATCACCCAATCTATTTATACTACATTCTTAGGTATATCCTGTTTAACCAAAAAACTAGGGAATATTGGGAAGTTGGACAAAACAATAAATATTAAGTATACACAAATAGGCACAAAAGTCTGCAGATGGAGAAAAAAAATAATTTAAATTCCAAGTTAAAAATAAAATGCCATACAAACAAAAACTAAAATGTTAATTATTTTTTAATTGTGTATCCGATTTTGAGTAGGTAATTAATTTGGGCCCAAAATTGCGAAATTAAATACAAATTACAGAGATGCAATACCAGTTAACGTTTCCTTACTAAAATAGAGAAAAGCCGCACGGGCCGCAGAAATTTATTTGATCTTTACTGACCTAAGGCCGTTATAAAAAATAGGCCGGCGGCCTCGGAAGAAATTTTGCTTAAATTTTCCTTTGGCAAAAGCCAGTTTGGTTAAGTTCCGCCTATAGAATGAAATGCAAGATGTTTTACAGCAAGTAAACCACAGATTTTTAGGATAAAAATATGAATGACCAGGTAGGGAGTTCTGTGATTTTTTAATGGTAAAGTCGGATATTTACGTTATATTATTTAGTGCGTGTTTATTTGCACCGCTTTTGATATAAATTAAAGTTTTATAACTTAAATTATTGGTTATTAATAACTTAAAATAATGTGAACAGTGTTGCCAGAAATTATTTTAAAATAGTACTTGTTTTTAGTTAAAACTTTAAAAAAGTACCTACTAGATTTAAAAAAGTACTATATATTTAGAACTAAAAAAATAGCGAGTTTTATGTATAAATAAACATATGTGACGCCCTCCAAAAAACGAACGTTAGGTACAAAAATAAAATTTTACAGCAGAGGCGATTGAAGTTCGCGCAGCATAGGCGTTTGTGTAGAAGATTATGTACCAATTCATTAAAAACAATTATAATCTCGAAAATCATTTTTTGGTTTAGTTTTACAGAGCGGTCACATTTTGTTATAAATTAATATCATAAATTTAATTTTTTATATTAATTACCTATATACATATATTGCAGTACACTTTTTGCAAATTTAAATTTAATCATAAACAACAATAAAAAATGTAAAATTTAAAGCCATTAAAATACAGAAATGGTATTTAATGACAAGTGACAGTCATGAGCAACATCCAAAGAACAGCCTTCTTTAGCAACAACTCTCTTTAATAGGTATCGCCATCTATTTTTAGTTTGCCCAATGTTGCTAAATGTGATTTAAGTTGCCTGTATCTGTATGAAATTTATATAATTTTAAATAAAATGGGTAAATACTAATTATTTCATTTTTAGACTAATTCGAATTCTGCGGCAGTTAAAAATGAGCCAAAGGGCCAATATTTAAAAAAAAGTACTAGATTTTAATCCAAGAACCGAAGTACAGAATTAATTAAAAAAGTACTAGATCTAGTACAACTGTACAAGACTGGCAACATGAACTTCATTCACATGTTAACCAAAAAACTAACCATAGTAGAGCATACATTAAAATACAAAAAGTGATTAAAATTGGACATTAAAGTTACGTATTTGTAAGTTATAGTTATTCACCCCTTTTTATGGTAACAAGTTTAAGTCAATGTTTTTAAATAAAAATAAATTGTTACTTGATTGTTGTCATAAATGACAATTAAATAATTCTGATGATATTTATTATCAACATTAATATTAATATTATTTTCATTTTAAATTATTAATTTTGTAAAACTTGTCGCAAATGATGATTTCTTAGCACGCTTTGAGCGTTGAGTAAAATATTGTGTAATTAAAGTTAAAATATAGGATTTTTTTAAAAATTTTAAGTAACATAAATTTTGGGAGAAAAAATTGTAAAATACAAATTTGTATTAAAAAGTAAAGTAAACAGAAACTGTATCTAAAAAAAGGAACTAGTTGTGAATTGTGTCAAGTTTTGTTAATTTTGTATTCGGCGAAGAATGTTATTCCCGTTATTTAATTCTCATAGTTTTTTGGAATTAAAAAATATACAGTGATCCTCCCATTGGCAAGATGGATCCTACCAAAAGCTGACTCTTGTGCCTCGCATATTATTGATTTAAACATTTTTAAATAACTTCTATCCAGCTTTTTTACTTACTTGCAATTTCTTATACATTTCCAAATTGATTAACTTAATGTCATCGAGTTGCCGCCTTAAAGAAACAATAGTATCCTGTTTATCATGAATATCTTTCTCCAACAATTTCATGGCAACTTCAGTTTCAGCTTTTAGGCACATCTGGAAAAAATCACCAGTAAAAAGACCTACTTGAAGAACGCGGTCATTTTCTACCTGTATCTCAAGATCCTTATCAGCTTCTTGTCTTAGTTTTCTTTCTTCGTCCAATCGTTGCCTTATCTCATCCATTTCGCCGTTGGATATTTTGTTATTTTTATGTTTTTCCTGTTCCGTTAAATTAATAATTTGCACGCCACTGGTGCTCATGGCGTATTCACCGGAATCCCTGCCCAAATCCTGCTTTAGCTGTCTGTTTTCTTCATATAAAGCTGCCAAGTTGTTCTTGGAGATTGCCAGATCCTCCTTCATCAATGCGTTTGTTGTTGTTAATGTTTCTACTTTGGTCTGTAAGTTTGTCACTGTCGCGCTGTTAAAGAAACGTTTTATAATACACTAAAAATTAACTGACAACTTTAAATTTATGTAACCTTTTTGAGAAATAAATAAATTTATAAAATAGAGTTTCAAGATTTTTTTTTAATTATTTTTATCGCTTTAAATTACGGAAACTACAGTTCTTGTTTTATCTGTGACCAATAAAAATAAATTATATTTTCAAGAAATAAGCATAACATAATGTTTAATTTGCAATGCCGATGTTCAAAGCGCATGTTCTTAAAATCAATGTATCGGAATCAAACGAAAAAAATAAAATAAATTGTTACATACTTTATTAACAAATATACCTAGTAAAAATTGTTTCCAATTAATGTAAACTTAATTATCTTTTCTTTGTAATATAAATTTAGCCGGTGGATTAATTTGAAGTATTATGAAGCTAATGTTTAAGGAAAACAATTGTTAATTTAAAATAAACCGGTTAAACTGTAAAAACAGTCTAGTTTTTATTTTACTTATACTTATATATACTACATATTATGGTATAATATTTTATTATTTAATTTATTTATATTTTATTTATACAGGGTGTCCCAGAACTAGCGCCACAGAAAAAAATGGAACGTGCCAAAAGTAATGAAAAACACAATCTAGCGCAAAGGATAAGCGAGATAAGAATAAAAACGTTAGCCAATCCCAATATATCGACATGGGGAATTATTTAAGCTACTAGGATATTTGGTCGACTGGAATCCACTTCATTGTGACCCTAGATAAAAGAGGATATCTATGATTGTGACAGTGCTGTCAATTTTTGTTCCTCTGTTGTTTATGTCGAAATGATTATTTATGGGAAGTACCCACACGTGTGGGCGCAATGCTAGAGAGGCAGCGCTTTACTAATCGCCCCTGGACTGAAAAGTGTTCCTTAGGACTATCGCGAGAACCCGAGAGACCGGTAAAGTTGTTCCGCGTCGTAACAAAATTGGAGGTGCTCCAAAACGTATTAAAACGGGGGGAAATAAAGAAGCTATTTGAATGCCTTTTATGCAAATAGTAGGAAGAGCATTAGAGAAGATCCACGAAAACTGGATGTTTCCCGTTCTAAAGCTCGATTTCTATGAAACCCACAAAATATCGAGCTTTTAACAACAATTGAAAGATAAAAATGGTGCGTTTCATATCTCTCCTTCAAAAAGGTTTTTAAACTAGCACTACTTTGGCTCTGGGGTACAGAACTAGTTGTTTGATTTTTACTTTAAACATTCACCTAGAAATGTTTTATTTTTAAATTTCGCATCTTCATTGCTATCGGCACGCCCTGTATACGTAGAATTTTGGTATTAGTATATTAGTATACGAGAGATAATGCGCATAATCTCGAGTGTAATAATAAATGTTTATTAATATACGTATTGAGTTTAATCCAGAGTTTCATTAATAACTGAACCCTGGTTACTTTCTCCACTGTATAAAAGCTACCCAGGTGTGGCGCTTCACCACAATAAAAAGGAGCTGGCGCCCGAGACTTGTTTTCTATTAGACAAACCAATAGGTAAGTGCGTCATTAGAAAGAAACGTTACAAAATATACTATACGCTAAAGAAGTATCGGGTTTCTGCAACGCGCGCGCCATCTGGTGGATTTCAAATGCATTGCGTGAATTTAAGAATTGTCAACAATAAATTTAAAGCACCGATTATACATCATTTTTAAATAAATAGGTAGTTTTTTTACAAAAGAGAGGAAGGCAGAAGTCTTACTCGACAAATTTTGGTCAATTGCACAGCTAAATCGCGCATGTTATTTGTGTTTTACGTTGCAAGGAAAAAATTTAAAAACTTTTTTAGTACTCGATTTCAATTGATTATTCCTTATATCATTGATAAAGAAACTCAACTCTTATTTTACCAAAGGGATCATGGTGAATTATTGTGTTTTTAATTGTAAATAAAATTCAAGAACTAAATCGTTGCATTTTCAATGAAAATGAAAATTTTTCATGTTTTGCCAAAGGTTTGGTAAGTACATTTGTTGGTGCAGAATTAACTAATGATAACTTTACCTAATATAATTTATATTTAAGTTTGGACATTTTTAAGAAATTAGTAAAAAATAATTATTGCACAAACATAACCTTAAAATCAATCATTTTTATATTTGAGTTCTCTAAAAAACGCCGACAACTGCATTTTAAACAACAAAATATATCTACGAATTCAAGGCAACATAATATTATATTTAATACATAATATAATGGTATTTTACCGTTGAGTGGAGACTTTAAAGAATTCTTAATCAACGCTTTTAATAATGCTAAATGCTGTTTAAATTTAGACGACTTATTTGTTTGACGATTTTTACTGAATTTAAATGTTTACACTTTTCACGTTAATCACTACTAAAATGTGTATTTATTGTATCTAATAGGTACAATTTATATTTACAGAGCCTGTATGCAATTTATTGCTTCATTCAGATTAACATTGTTTATTGGAAAACCGGTAAAAACTCAACCCAGGATTTCCTCTCGAAATACACCCAACAACAGAACAAATCGATCCACGGCTTTTTTTCGATATTTTTTAACATTTTCCGGCTTTATTCTCAAAAACACTCGTTTGTAACCCAAGCGTTTGACAGCTGATTATTAAAAGTTTTACTTTTGTTACGATGATAACAGCCGAGTGGTGGCGCTACTAGCAATACTTCTTTAGCGTATACTTGATCTACTTCAATAGGTAGATAATTGAATTAAAAAATAATGAAATAAAATCTGACATCTGTCAAATGGTTACCTAACTTTTTACCAATTTTAAATGTTCATACCTTGTTCGAAAGTACTTAGTTTCGTCCCTAATAGCAGGGACAACATTTACTCCCTGTGCTATTAGGGACGAAAGTACGTACTTTCGACCGAGGTAAACTTTCGTCCCTGCTATTAGGGACGAAAGTAATTACTTTCGACCTATGTATGAAGAAAAATAGTATACACCACACGGGCCAAACGTTGAAATCTCGGTCCTGCGCGTCATGACGCGCAAGGCCGAAAACTCAACTTTCGGCCCTTGTAGTGTAATATACTATTACTCAACAAACAAGAAATATGTAATTTCGTGGCCCTGCTTATAGGTGGCGAAATAATGGATTCCGTGACTCCTCTTTCTTCTATTAGTCGCTCAACTTACTATTGTTGTGCAAAAATTTTACATTTTAATTTTTAAAGATAGTTTTTTACTATCTATAAACCTTAAAAATTTAACTAGGTACGTTTTCTGAATATTTTTAATTTTGATATGTTAATTTGTGAATAGCTTACTTCAAATGCCTATTGAGCTCTTCAATATAATTCTTCTGATCTAGCACGGTGACCATATTATCGCCCGTATCATTGGACATATCGTTTGTAATATGCTGATGCGACGACCGCAGATATAACGAAAAATCTATGACGCCCTGCGGACAGTCCAAATCTTCCTCCTTGACGCACAGGTTGCAGTCAATGACGTTCAACCCAACTAAAAGACCTATTATCACAATTGCTTCATCACTCAACATCAAGGCATCGGGCTCGAAATACTCTGCGAGAGCTTCGTCTTTGTTGTCGATCAGGACTTTTAAGTAATCCGCGAGCTTCTTTTGCATTAGTGCTATTCTCAGCCAAGCACGTGCACGGCCCATGTGTGTCCTAAAATACAACATTAATATGATTAGGGGGTGTCAAGAATAAAAAATAATTGCATGCCGAAAATTTGCGTAAAAAATAAGAAAACTAACGACGCCAAATTTTTACACCTTTTTCCAGGTATTACCACAGCATACGGAGAAATAGCAGGTCCACTGAGACAAATATTTTAAGATGCGCAGATTTTCTCGCGCAACGTTTCTGTACGTTTTCAGTTTCAAGAGAATTTGTTGGGTACACATTGGTCGTAAAACAGAGGTATTCAGATTATTTATAAATATAATTAATGTTATGCGTTGTTCAGCCAAAGGCTGTATAAACAATTCTCGCAATTCTCATATTTTTTTAAAGTTTCCTTTGGGGAATGATCAGTAAGGGGACATCCATTAATTACGTGAGGCATTTTTCTGATAATTTGGTCCCCCCTCCCCCTTGGTGAGATTTGGTGAGATGTGGTAGACCCCCCTATCCCTCACGTGAGATTTTAAACTTTTTTGCAGACATGTAAAAAAATGATAATTTTTTTTATAAATTTAAATTATAATACATATTTTTCAAACTCAAAAGTTGACGTAAGACTTTTAATGACCCCCTCCCTTAAAATGAGATTTGGTGAGATTTTGCTGGACCCCTCCCCCCATTTTTGTCTCACGGATGTCCCATAAGTATTATTTTTTTCTACTTTTAAATCAGAATTAGAAGTAAGAAAGCTCATAAACAGGGAAGTGTACTGGACGCTACTTTTATATACCTACTACTTAAATATTACCTTAATTATATTTTAAATATAAATATGATATTAATAATATTATATATATTATATTGTATAATATCATATTGTTCACTTTAAAAAATTAAAGATGTATACTTTATATTATTATTAGATACAAAGAAAGGAATTTCTAATAGTTATTTTTAAGTTTTTTTTTAAATAATAAAAATAATAATATAAAGTATGGGTCTAGGAAAATTTATCGTCAACAATTTACCGACAGCAATTTACCGCCAGCAACTTATAGCCGCACCAATTTATCGCCGCAACAGTTTACCGCCAGCTATTTATCGTAGAAACAATTTATCGACAGAAATTCACCGTAAGCAATTTTCCGCTAGGTATTTACCGCCTCAAAAGTTTACCGCCAGCTAACCGGATTTGTTTTGTGCATTTTAACGTTTTTAAAATGAATCATAGGCAAAATTTTAACGCTTCCTGGTTAGAAAACTCAACAACACAACCCTACCGACCCCGCCCCATTGAAGCCCCCCCCGCCCCATTGGTCAAATGGTCAAAAATGAAAGAAAAAAACCCAAACCAACCCAAACTCAACAACACAACCCAACCGACCCCGCCCCATTACTTAAAAGATTCCTTATCAATTCTTTAACATTTTTCAACAAATACCTGAAAAAACCCAGGGCAAATTAGGCTAACTTAAGTTAATAACTTTTTATTTTAAATGTAACAATTTAATAAACCAACAATATTTTATTCAAGAAAAGCAACGTCTAATGTAGAAGTAACACACTTTAAACATTTAGTAATAAACTAGTAATAAAAATTGTTAATTAAATTATTGTTGGTTTATTAAATTGTTACAGTTACGCATTTTTTTTGTTATTAAAATATTTTATAAAAGCAATTCTATATTTTATGGTCTCCCTCTAATGAGCTTTATCTTGTTGACAGGTGTGTTAAGTTTATTCGCAAACAATAATAAAAAATTATAGGCTATTTTTGATTGACGCGCATTTATCAAATTTTAAAATCAAAACACGAAAACTATTCAAATTAGGTATAGGTATAGGACATGGTTTAATAATTTAACTCAGAATTTCATGTAGAATTTAAAAATGTATATTTGAAATAACAAAGTTGATGTCAATTTCGGTTAAACCAGAAGTGGCATTTTGTTCAAAATATTATAGAAAATAGATAATGGATAATGGATTCTAAATTTTCATATCGATATCTTTTTTCGTTCCCCAAAAACTTCTAATGGACCATGAATGTGAAACACCAAGTATATTTTTACATAGGTACTTATAATATGGAAAAGGGAATTTTTTTTCTTATGATGTAAATATGTCCTCTATCTAAACATAACAGTTGTTTGCAATTGCTCCTTGCGCGTTTGTCTATATACAAAAATTAGTATCTATATTCCAGTCTGAGAATTGTATTGAAACCTTGCGTTCGTCTTTGTTACAAATTAACGTATTATTTACCCGTGAGGAAAAATACCAAATTATGATATGGCATCACACTCGATCGTATCTTGAAATACAAAATTTATTTCAAAATATGTTACAAAATATGCCTTTACCCAGTGTAGGTACAATCCAGAGAATAATGGTAAATATTCGTACTCATGAGTGTCTTTCGTCGGAGAGGCATAGAGCTGCATCCACACTTAATTTCTAAATTTAGCACTACATCTATATTTTAGGTTTAGAGTATCGAAGTCGTCCAATATTAAATCTTGTATTAAATTTTTGGCATCATATTTAACTCTACTTTTCATGCTTGGGCGGACCCAAAATCTTCGTTTTTTTCGGCGATGCTTTTTTTGCTGTTGCCATTATAATTTGTTGCAGCAGAAAGTGCTAAACGTTTGTCATCGTCACTTATTTTAAACAACGAACATCTGTTTGAGCAGCTTGACTGTGTGAACGTGTAAGCCAGTTGGCAAAGCCGATAGTGTGGACGCAGCTTAAGACTCCACAGTTAAGACGAAATGAGCAAGGGACATTTTGATTTGTGCAAGTGTAAAGCAAGACCCTACATAATCTACTAGACATTTCTAAGAAGACGGTGCCCAAGACTTTACGCAAACATGAGTATAACCCTTATAAATTGAAGAAGGGTAATGAGCAACACCTAGGCGACATATGTCGCCTAGGTGCGTATTACTTAAAATTATCAAGTTTTACTTGTTAAGTTAGTGCTGCCATCTAAATTTAATTGTTAATCGATATTTAGAGGTAAAGTTTTCAATTTTGCTAATTAGTATGAATTCTCAATATTGTACGGCGGTGTATAATAATTTGACTTTTAAACTGCGTACAAATAAGAAGTCTTTAATGGTATATTGTTCTATATGAGGATGAAATATTACGACACGAGCAGAAGGCGAGTGGACTAATTTAATAGTTTAACACTATACTTTTTCTAATGTTATTAAAGAATTTGGTACAATTTTGTGAAATTACCATAACCACAGATTCGATGACAAATGTTAGTGTCAATTAATTTAAAAAAAATGAACCACCGTATAATTGTTATGGTAATGGTAAATACTACTGTGTAGTAAATTAAAATCTGGTCATCTCATTGGACAGTAACAGTGGAGAAAGAAATCAATTTTCTCCACAGTGTAAGACTGAGCAACTTTCTCAACTTAAAACGTATAGGAATTGTACAAATTCTTTAGTATGATTAGACAATATTTTACGATCATTTTTCTTATAGCTTTTTTAATAATTGATAAAATTAAACACTAATATCATTGGGAAACTTAATTTCAATACCTAACTGTGGGCAAATCCCTAACACTGGCTGTAATATCTTGGGCTTCAGGAGAATATTTTTCCACCATTTGAAGTATATCCCATAATTCTTTTTTAGGTCCCAATAGGCCCTATAATAATACGAGTGTAAATAAGTATTTAAACCTCAAGTATTGTTAAGTACCTTTTTAGGCCGTAATCCATGCCTAAGCACGTGTTCCAGCACAATAAAAAAATGCTGCAGTGGCATATGATCCGAGTCCAACATGCGTCCATATTTTAAGGATTGCTCGATTAGCTCTTTTACGACGAGTTTGCTAATATTTAGCAAGTTACTTCGTTCAATCACTACAGGATCCCTACCTACAAAAATAAGGTATAAGCGGGTATAAAAGCATTAATTTATGGAGATTTACACAGTATTCTAAAAGGAGTAAAATCAGTAATCTAATTCTTTTTTAATATTGGGACAGTTATTTAAAGTAGGTACTCTAGTAAAATTAAATTATGTTATACAGGGTGTAACATAAGGATTGGGATAAAAGAAAATTCATTCAATATTGGATTCCTTATATTAGTAAAAAAATAATAGGTTTTTTCGAGTTCGGATTTTTCCTATATAAAGTACGAGTTTTACAAGTTACAGGGAGTTAAAAAATTTAAAGAAATAATAATAGTTTTTGTTGAATAACTTCCGAACACTAAAAGATAAGAAAACGAAATCTTAGCAAATTTCTCTTACCTTAGTAAAAGTTAGTTTACTATAGCTCAAGGTGTAAAAATAATTTTGACCAATTGCATAAAGTTTTTTACCCCCTAGTGTGTAACTATTCAGATCTACCCTCGGATCTACCTATCATCACTTTCTACTCTAATAAATAGTATTATAATTGTATGTTCAACGTATTGTTTAATAAATAAAATTTTGCCTTGAAGATAAAACATTGTATAGCGAGTGATATTGGTGTTATGAACAACTTAAATGAATTTCAAACACATTATATATGCTGTTTAAAGGGGATATAATTGTTGTTGAATAGTCTAATATACGATTTAGTTAAATTGATAAATATGCTCTTTAAACCTCACTTCTAACCGAGTTACAAATACTTAATAAAACTGTGACGCAGTGGTAAAAACCCTCATACCAAAAGGTTGAACAGGAACATCAGGAGACGGTGAAGCCAACTTGTTTATTGACTCCTGCATATTAAATTCGACGTCCTGCAGTTCCTTGAGGCACAACCATTCGCCGTCTACAGACACCCGAAAGTTACACAGATAGATCGTGTCCTGAGCACCTGCCATTTCCTGCTCCATGGCATTGTTGTTGCCCGTTTCCGGTATCTCCTGAACTTTCATTTTTCAACCCGGTTTTACAGGAATGCACTTGATATTTTTCAGTTATTTTTTAACGTCGCGCCTTCATTACATGTTGATATTTTCGTGCACTTTAGTCTGCGCGTATTGATTTTAGGGAAGGGATAAACGAATGCTTGGGGATGGTAATCAATATGGGCAAACTTAAGAATTGTTGCGCCATCTAACGATTTTTGTTAAATCTATACTACTCAGAAGATCTTTTTAATTTTTTTATTTATTTAATTTTGTTTACCTATCTAATTTTCTTTTAGCTAAATTTTTAATGAAGTAAAGGAAAAGGGTACAATAAAAAAATATATTTTTAAGAATTCGTTATTCAAATTCATGATATACAGGGTGTCCGGAAAATGGCACGCCATACCATGCTGTAGGGAAGGCTATTTTAAATACAAAAAAAATATTTGACAAGTAGTTTTTGAGTTCCAAATTTTTATTTTATTATCGGTATTAAATGCTTTATGGTTAGTTTAAAACACGTTTAAAACATGTAACGATAAACCAAACAAACAAAAAATATAATATTTTTAGTAAAATTTACTAAAAAAAACTTTTTTTAAATGGGATGATATATTTATTGAGTACCCACAATTAACCCAATTATGCCCACCGTATACGTTAGTAAACGCAACGTCAACGTTTTAGGTTATGTTATAATATACAGCGTTTTCCCCCCGAAGGGTAGAAAACGACTTATTTTAGGTCTGTGCCGTCGGCTTGACCCTTGACGAGATTACGTCCCTGATTTCACTCCGACACGCCCCATTCACGCCCCCACTTTCCCCCGTCTAGTCTGATTCCCGCGACGTGAGCCGATCGGCGATCGAGGAAAGCCGATCGACGCTTGGATCCGTTCCCCGCGCGGGACTCTTCTTTAGTACCCTTGTAAGTCGTCAAGGGCTTACCGGGGTCAAGCCTAGGCAAGACCTAAAATAAGTCGTTTTCTACCCTTCGGGGGGAAAACGCTGTATATTTTAGGGTCTGTGCCGTCGGCTTGACCCTTGACGAGATGTGTTTAGATTCTGACGACGACGTGGAAGCGTACTGTGACTATTGTGAATATATTCACACATATATATATATATATATATATAAAACTTAAACCGAAATAAAGGCAAATATAAAATTCATAACAAGGTTTATTAATAATTATTAACAAAATATTGTCCTTAAGGGCCAATTCTGAATACAACTTAAATATCAAATAGGTACGAATGTATTGCGAACCAAATCATTATTTTTTGAAGATAATCCTTGGCAGTCTATCTCTCTATAGTAGTACTTAAAAAAATTTGAACTTCCCTTCCAGTTTCCACTTCTCAAAATGACATCTAATGGCATATTATTATTAAATCTAGATGACGAAACCGCTGATCTAATGCTGCCTGGAGAGTAGTCTATTCTTGCTTTCACAAAGGCCGTTCTAACCCATCCAGCGATGGCCGCCCTAGATGCAGGCGCCACTCTACCCCGAGAAGTAATGAATAGATGAAAAAGATCTTCTTTTGCACTCCTTCTTAAAGCAGACACTTTTAATAAGGTTTTAACCCAGTACACTGGATCCAACTCGCAGTCTGAATTTTTTAATAGCTTCCATCCGGATTGTCTTGAATTTGCTTTATCCGTCTTTGAGCCGAATACAGGCCAAAAAACTACTGACTCTTCAGAAATAGTCATGGCATCCTCGTTTATCCTTAACAATATTAGGTCATGTATTCTACGACCTGATGCTAATAGCAAAATTAGTGCGAGCCTTCTAGATGTTTGAAACAAGCTATTTTCATTTACTTTATCCGATTTCATCCAGGAGACTAGAAGATTTATATCCCAGGTAGTCTTTCTCTTGGAGATTGGTTTACTAAGTTCAATGGCTCTTAAAATTCTTTTAATTAAAGGATGGTTGGCTATTAGGCCACTTTTATCTGGGTTAGCGAATGTAGCTATCACTGACTTGTGCAACTTGATTGTACTCGGAGCCAAGCCTTTATCATGATGAAGGAACGCTAGGTACTGAGCAACTTTAACTGAGTCAGGATCGTTTGGTGACACATGTTCTTTCTTACACCATTTCACCCAATCCCTCCATGGCGCCGCATAGCCCTATTAAAAATGCCCTATAGAACCCATATTGATCCAGATAAGGAAACTAATATGGATTTATATGGTTCTATATGTCCTATATGGAACGACCTGGTTTACACTTTGGAATCTATATGGTTTAATATGGAATTTCATTTTAAAATGTACAACTTAGGGATTTTTATATGGATTTATCTGGTTTCTGTTTTATGTGTCTTTCCATATAGGTTTCCCTATATGGTTGAATATGGAATTCCATTTTAAAATGTATATATATTTAAACGAAAATTGCATATTAAACCATATAGATTCCCCTATATGGTTAAATATGGATCTATATGGTAATAATTTTTTCACACCCAAACCATATTGGGCCAGATAGAGCAATATGAACCTATATGGCAATCCATATAGAAATCACTTTTCTATATGGTTTTCCAGGTATGGAATTCTATCTGGTTCAATAGTGCAATGCCTGTTTCAAATTCCTATATTGAACCAGATAGAACCTTATAGATTTTTATTTTGTGTTTCTATATGGCATTTTTAATAGGGAGGATTTTAATGATGAGCTTCGCCATGATGCTTTAAGCAAATTTATTTCTTGAGCCGACCATTTTCTTATCATAGCGGCCCACCCTGTACCTGCCAAGCCTCCAATCTTAATTTCTGGACTCGAGGTAAGGTTCTTTGATTGTGGGAGTCCACTAAGTGATGATGAAGATCCTTCAGCTTCAATGGTGGGCCCAGCGCTCTTGCTTTCACATCCGCTAACCAGAATACTTTTTCCCAATTGGGCACAATCAGAATAAATGTTCCTTTCGCTGAATTGAGGTGATTCAAAACTCTGGGAATTTGACTTGGAGGTGGAAACACCCATGCTAATTTGTAATTCCAATTGCGACTGAAGGCGTTCGTGAACTCCGCCTGATGATCGTTCACGTCCCTGGACACGTAACGTTTTACCACTCGCGAGGTCTGACTCGCAAACAGGTCTATTTGTGGCGTTCCCCATGCTTGAAATATCTGACTCGTTAGAGACGGTAATAGGTGCCAGTCCGGAAGAGGTTGATTCCTGGACAGACTGTCTGCTACACTGTTGTACAGACCCGGTAAATATTGAACTAACAAATGTATTTTCCAACGATGTGTCAGTTCTAAAACCGAACGTGTCATTTGAAGCAACTTTACTGATTTCATTCCCCCTTGGTTTTTTAAATAGGACACTACCGTCCGGTTGTCTGACTGCACCAGAATTGTTCTGGCCTTCAAATTTATTGCACATTGTTTGAGAACTATATAAATTGCATACATTTCTTTGCAATTTATGTGCCATAATTTTTGAGATGTTGACCATAAACCTTTTATGATCTGGTTGTCCACATGAGCTCCCCATCCAAGATCGCTTGCGTCCGTGGCTATGAATACCTCCGGGTTTTTTGGAAAGAGATGAGATGGCTTTTCTATGTTTTCCGTCCACCAACAACATTCTACTAGCACTTCGTTTGAAATCTTGAACCCCAAACTTGGCTCTTTCTCGGGGAGCGATAAACTTGCTCGAAGTAGTCTTCTTGTGTTCAGCCTTCCTAGGGGGGTTACAAAAGATGCGAAAGACATCTTTCCCAGCAATCTCTTTGCTAGTCTCCAATTCCACTGATGATATTTCAGAATTGTTTGCAAATCCTTTTTTATTGACTCTTTTTTCTTTAAGGGCAAAGAAATCTTGTCCCCCCATGTGTCCCACTCGATCCCCAAGTACTCCAGACATGACTGAGGCTCTATTATCAATTTTTCTTTGTTCAATCGCCAACCCAGATGCTCCAGGAAGGCTACTGTTTCTTCTGTTTGAAGGCGTAGAATTTCCATATTCTGATTGGCCAAAAGAAAGTCGTCTAGATAGACCACAACTCTTATGCCCTTCTTGCGAAGGCATCCCGCTATCCAGTTGGCAATGCGAGAAAATTCTAGGGGGGCAGTTGAAAGGCCGAAAGGCAAACAAGTCATCTGGTAAACTTCCCCTTGGTAAATCATCGACAAAAACCTTCGATATCTTTCTTTTACCGGGATATGAAAATAAGCCTGCGAAATGTCTATCTTGGTCATAAAGTCTTTGTTTTGTAAGAAGACTGGGATCTTCCTGTGGTTTATGAGCCGAAAACTTTTTGGATTGAGGTATTGATTTAGAGCTTTCAAATTGAAAATTGGCCTTTTGGAACCGTCCGGTTTTGGTGTTGAAAACATTTGAGACAAAAACCCTGTTTGAAAGGTCGACCTTTCCAGAACGCCTTGATTGATCATCTTCTTTACTTCTACATCCAAATGAAGTGTTGCATAAGATATTTTTACATGCTGATCGTGGAGCGATATGAGAGGTGGTTTTTTGATGAAAGGAAGTGAGTAACCCCTTATGGACTCCAATACCCTTTTTGGAGCCTTCAATGTCTCCCAGCGGTCTAAATAATTTCGTAATTGCCCCGCTTGGAAGAGAGATTGGTCGTAGTCATTGTTTTCTTGGCCTCTTCGCAGAGGAGTCATCACCTCTGGAAAAGTAACGTCTTCTCCTATTCTCAGTTTCTTTGGAAGAATAGCCTCGGTTTCCGTGCCCAGGTTGTGCGGATTTGATGAAAGACCTTTTCGCTTGATTTTGCGGCCTGCTGGACCCTGCCTGAGGTTTGAATACCGGTCGGTTATATCCAATGGGTTTTTTGTATGAAGTACGAAATGGATTTCCATGCTGCCTAATCAAGTCGGTCAGCGGTTCCTCTGTAAACAAATGAGTCGTAGATGGAGGAATACCTTCAAGAAGAAAGTTCATCTGAGAATTCTTTTGGAAAAAGAATTTTCTTCTTTGATCAATTACTTCTGATCTTCTCCCTGAAACGTACTGCAAAACGTCATCAGAATTTTGACGGAACTGTGATTCCGGCCCAACCAAAAGCTCTTGCACATCCCTTTTAATAGAAGGGTGTTTTCCCACAAGCTTTTTCA